TCTATTTATATTAGACGTCGATATAGCGGGTTTATGCCTCGTTAAGTAGGTTTATAACGTTATTATAGCCGTTAGCATTATTAGTAAATATAATAGTAGGCATAGTAATAGGTTTGCTAAGCAGTTAGGAAAGGCAACGTCTAATCTACTTTATAGTAATTGCCGTAGGTGTTACGGCCAGCTAACTGACAGTGGGTTTGTGTTAACAGTAAGCCAGGGATTGACAACAGTAACAGTCGTTCTGGGGTCTGGTCGATTGAATCGTAGATCTTCAAAGGTCTTGGTGATCAGTCAAGGCCTCAACAAGAGTCGTAGAGTAGTCGTCACTTAGGTATAGCTGAAAGTACCGGTTAGGGTAATCACAAAGTTGATTGCTAAAGAACTAGGAAAGGTAGGACTCGAGAGGACTCGAGTCCCAACTATATACAAGTCTGGTTCCATGCTGAACACTTCCTGATCCTGGGGGACCGACACCCAGGACGTCGGTCCATCGCCATGGACCGCCCTTGGCACCGTCGGTCCTGTCCCAGGACCGCTTATCGTCCGTCGGTCCTGCTTATCGTCACGTGACCTGTATCCTAGTTCTTCCGTTCCGTGGGGGTTGTTACGACGTAACGGCTGACGGCCGTCCCTATAACCGCTGAGCCCCTGCGGGGTCGTCGTCAGTGGTCTGTTAACTGTCGGGTCGTAACATCAGCTCCCCTCTTAAAGGTCTTGTCCTCGAGACCTGAGTATAAGTAGGTCGTTAGTCCCAGGTTGGGGATCCACAAATTTGCTTCCTTTGTTTTTCATGATGCTGACACCATGTCAGGTCGCGTTCGAAAGACAAAGTCGTACTTGACTGTGATAAAAGATCGTAAGAGAGCTGCGCTTATTAAATACGTAGAGTCCCGATCGATTGCTAGCAACATGCCTTGCACTCGTTGTTTCCGTGCAAAGGTCCCGTGTCGTTTTAGCAAGAAGTCTACACGCTGTAGGACTTGCATCGAGGCGAAGAAACCTTGTGACGGCGTCCTCGTGGCGTCTACTCGTAAGTCGTGTTTTTGTGTTTTCGCTGTTCTGGGGGTTGCTAATGTTTGCTTCTAGTTCAGAAGTTGAACTCTCAGCAAAAGGAGTGGGATGAGAAAGAAGAGAAAGCGGGTGAGGAGCTATTCGCGCTTCATCAAGAGTTTGCTCGTTTGCAAGTTCAAATGGCGGATGCTGCGGGTCGTCTGAAACGGATTCGGACGGTCCGTAAGATGGTTCGGGAGCGGCAGACCGAAGTTTTTGAGCGTGGTATGCAGGAGGTTGACAGGGAGGATGGCGTCCTGGCGGACGACGAAGTCCTACCTGCCTTGGATGCTCACGAGAGGTTCGTCGTTAGTAACCTCCAGGCAGTGGGTCTCGGGAATGATCCTCCTTGGTCCCTTTTTGGTTTTGGTGACGAGTTTGTGGGTTTGGGTCCTCTGGTGGATGGCGCGGGTGCGGGGAGTGTTGGAGGTTCCTCGGCTACTCAGGGCTAGGTGTTCCTAGGCGAAGAAACGTTTTGTTGCCCTGGGGTTTCTTAGTTAGTCGAAACTTAGGTTGAGGGTTTCTGACGCGAGGGTTGTATGTTGGTCTTTGCATGACTTTGGCGTGCTGTCGTATTTCCCATTGCGTCCAGTATTCTTAAAGTTCCTCTTGTACGTACTCCAAGTTTGATGCGGGTTCCCATGTGTTTTCTTCGTGTCCGTAGTTTTTCCACTTAATTAGGTATTATATTTCTATGTCATCGTGCTGATCGATGTGATCGAGGATCCTTTCGACCTCGTAGTCCTGTTCCGGGTCGACTTCGATATAGTCTATAGTTCGTAATCCTTTTAGTGCTAGCTCGAGAAGTAAAATATGAAAAACTAGATAACACTTCATAGTGTCTGGTAGTGCGAGTTTGAAGTTGACGTTAGATACCTTCTTCGTGATTTCGAAGGGTCTAAGTTTCTTAAAGTCTAACTTATCGCTTGGTCGTTTTGTTTTGATATTCCGGCGGAGAAGGTATGCGCTATCCCCCTCCTTCAGAGTTAGTCCCTTAACTCTTGTCTTGTCAGCGTATTTGCGCATGCGTTCGCGCACAAATTCAAGGTCTCTGGGAAGATCTCGTTAGATTTCCTTGAGTTTGTTAATATCTGCCATAGCTTTCAGAGCTGTTAGGCCTTGTCGGGGTTGTCCATAGGCTGTCGGGTTAAATCCGTAGTTCAAGTAGAATGGTGATTCTTTTATACTTTCTCCTACTGCGCTGTTGTAAGCGAACTAGGCCATAGGTAGCAGTTAGACCCAGTTGTTTTGCTAATAGTTAACGTAGCAGCATAGGTAGGTTTCCATGATCTGATTGATTCGTTCTATCTAGCCATCGGTTTGCAGATGGAAAGCGGTGGACATCTTGTAGTCAGATCCTAGCTGCGAGATCAGGGATCTCCAAAACTTAGAAGTAAACAGCTTGTCTCTATCGGATACGATTTCCTTCGGCATTCCGTGTTAGCTTACGATCACCTGCAGAAACTTGTAGGCGAGGTCTTCTACAGTGCTTGACTCCATGTACGGAATGAAGTATAAGTACTTTGTGAGTCTGTCGACGATAACGAGGACACTGTCGTAGTAGACGTTAGTCATCGGTTCTCGGGACTTAGGTAACTTAGTGACGAAGTCCAGCGAGATGGATTCCCATACGGTTTACGGCACTGGGAGCGGCTGTATCTTTCCATAAGGCTGATGTCGGCTGGGTTTGCTTTTTGCGCAAACCTCACAGTCCTTAATCGCTAAAGATACTTCTTGTCGTGTAGCCGTTTTGTCGTAGTGTTGACGGATGCGTTTCCACGTTTTGGTTACGCCTTGGTGACCATGTGCGGGTGCGGAGTGTATCTCCCTAATGGCTTCAGGAGACATCCTTCCAGTCGTGCTGGTACTGTCTCTTCTGGCCATCATTAAGAGTCTGGCTGCTGGCACAAGGTCTCCGTTTTTGTCTGTTTTGAGGATAACTCGGGTTTCCTCAGGTACCTAGACCTCATGGTCCGGTCTTCGGCTAAAGGCGTCGGCCCTGCCGTTCTCCTTGCCCTTCCGGTAGATGATTCTGAAATTGAATTCTGACAAGAATTCGGACCATCGAATTTGTCGTTTGTTAAGATCTTTCGATGTGGTGAAGTATGCGAGATTCTTGTAGTCGGTGTATACTTTGACCTCGTACTTGGTTCCTAAGAGTTGCGGTCTCCATTCTTTAAATGCCTCGATAATTGCCATAAGTTCCTTGTCGTGTATCTAGTAGTTAAGTTCTAGGCCGTGTAACTTGCGTGAGAAGAAGGCGCAAGGGTGTAGTCGTCCTTCGTCGTCTCGTTGGCCTAGTTATCCTCCTATAGCGTAGTCTGAGGAGTCGGTCTCGACTTCGAATGGTTTCTCGGGGTTTGGTATAACAAGTATTGGTTCCGATGTGACTTGTTGTTTGATCTCGTTGAAGGCTTGTTCTTATTCTTCTTCCCATTGCCAGGGAACATCTTTCTTCGAGAGTCTCGTGAGAGGGTCGTTTTTGTCTAAGTACCCTTCTAGGAACCGTCGGTAGTAGTTCACATATCCAATAAAGGATTGTACGTCCTTAACGTTCTGTGGTATAGGCCAGTCTCGTACTGCTGCGATTTTGTCTTTAGACATTTTGAGGATTCCTAGGGCTATCGTAAAACCTAGGAATTCGACTTCTTTAGCATGAAACTTGCTCTTCTCGGGTTCCACTAGGAGTTTAGCGTCTTGCAGTTTCCGCAGTACTTGGTATACGTATTTTTTGTAGTCTTCCAGAGTCTTAGAGAAGATTAGGATGTCGTCGAGGTAAACTACGACGAACACATCTAGAAATTCTCGTAAGACGTGGTTGATCATCGTCTGGAATGTCGCGGGTGCGTTGGTGAGTCCGAAGGGCATCACAAGGTACTCGTAATGTCCTCGGCGTGTTCGAAACGCTGTCTTCCATTCTTCACCTGATTTCATCCGGATCAGGTTATAGGCTCCTTTTAGGTCGAGTACTGTAAACCACTAGGCTCCGTGCAGTAGATCTCGTAATTCGGAGATAAGCGGTAGTAGGTAGCAGTTCTTAATCGTAATGTCGTTAAGTTTCCGGTAGTCGACGCAGAGTCGTAGTTTGCCGTTCTTTTTTAGTACGAACAGGATTAGGTATCCTGCTAGTGATGTAGAGGGTCTGATATATCCCTTCTGTAGATTTTCTTCGAGGTAAGCGTCGAGTACTTCCATTTCTTTCTGGTTAAGTCCGTAGATTGCTTCTAGCTTTGGCTCCTTCCCTTCCTTAAGGGGTATCTCGTGGTCGTAGTTGCTGTGTTCCGGGAGTCCGGTCTCGAGTTCTTCGGCGAATAGCTTCTGGTATTGCTGGTATTCTTCTGGGATAGACAGAAGTCGGTCTTCCTTGCCGATGTCTATTGCTAATAACGTCCTAGCGTTTGCATCCTTGATCCGTAGGTATGCTAGAAATCTCTTCGCTTCAGGAGTCTTAAGAGGTTCGTTTGAGGCACCGTTCCGTGGTTGCTTCTCAGTAACTAAATCCTAGTCCCAATAGAGTTAGCCTGTTCTCCAATCTATCCGTGGGTTACTGTCGTATAACCATGGTCTTCCAAGGATGACATCGTACTTGTCTCCTATCTCCGTAATATCGAAGTTCAGTCGCTCATTCCGGCCATGGATCTGCAAAGGGAGTTGCGCTGTCTCCATAGCAATGCGTCCTCCGCCGTACTAGACTTGTTCTCCTTCAACGGTGCTGAGTTCGTAGCAGTCTTCGGCTGCTTTTCTTTTCTAGGTTATCTTTCTTTCATTCACCGTTCTTAGTAATATAAAGTTTCCTTAGGCTCTGCTGTCGATCATAGCGGTAGCTGTTCTTCCGTTAAGCTGTATTTAGACTTGTACATGCTCGTGTCGTTGTGTCGTGGGCGTCGTTGCGCTACATAGGGACCTTGTCTGGACTGCCTGTCGTTGTCCCTTGTCTTCGGTAGGCGAGTCTAGTTTTTTGACTGCTCGTCCGTTCCTTGTTCGTCGTTTTCTTGCTGTTTCTTCCATGCTTCGTCTTTCTTGATATAGTGGACTCGGCGCTGGTCTTGGTAGCAGTGATACCACTGTATTTCTTCGTCAGAGTCCTCTCCAGAGCTGGTGTCGTCGACTGAAGCGACTTCAAAGGCGACTTCCAGTTGGGCATGTTGGCGGGCAACATCGCGAGGTGTTTCCGAGTCGTTAGGGGTGTTCTTGGTCGTTTCTGATTCGACCTGTTCTTCCAGTTCTTGGTTGATCTGGCGGATCCGTGCGGGATCTCCTTGTGCATGTTGTCGTCGTTCGATGTGTGCGTCCAGCGCACCGAGTTGTCGTTGCCACATAGGGTTTTATAAGTCCTGTTGAATCCGCTGCAGGTGGGCTTGTCGTCCTGCGTAGAGGAGGCTCAGCCTTCGCTGATTGTCTTGTTCTAATTCCTCGTTGTCGTTCATACTGTCGAGCTGTTCGATTGTCTTGCGCTCGATTTTGCTGTTGCTTCTATATCCCACAGCGAGGGTCCGTTTAGGTGCGTTGGTAGTGTCGTAACCAGATCGTTCTTGAGGTTTCTGGGGGTACCATCCTGCGTGTTCCTTACTGCTAGAGTAGATATGGCAGTTGTCATCGAAGCAGGTAGTCCAGTTGAGTTGTTCATAAGGGATCGTCTTCGTAGCGATACTTGCTTGTCGTTTCTCTAGTACCGGTTGGAAGCGTTCCTTCTTGGGTAACCTGTATTCGTATGCTAGGTGTCTAATCTTCTAGCAGTTATAGCACTGTCTATCTTTCTTCTAACTATCGTTCTTTTTGTCGTTTCTCTGTATAGCACTAAGGTCCATTGGTCTACTATAGTGACCATAGGCAGTACTTTGTCGGGGGTTGTTCCAGTTGTTACGGGGTCTATTGTCGTTTCGCTGGTTGTTGAACTGGTGCTGAGGCTGCCACTGGTACTTGCGTCCTGAGTTAGGGTTTTGTCGTTTTTCGCCTCTTTCCTTTCGTCGTTCGAAAAGCCGGTTGTCGATTTTGATAGCGAGTTCGGCGTACTAGAGAAAGTCGTCAGGTCGATCAATCTTGATGATCTCGTCCTTGACTTCGTTTTTTAGTCCTTGATAGAACATGAAGATCTTGGTTTCCTCGGTGAGGTCGAGTTGAACGCTAAGTTGTCGGAAATTAGCAGAGTAGTCTTTGGCAGACTTAGTCTACTTAAGTTATGCTAGATCTCGTTCGGCTTGTCGCTTTTCGTTAGGGTCTTAGAAGAGTAACCTGAGCGCGTCCTCGAATCCTTTAAAATTAGCATAGATGTCGCGGGTCTCGGTAGTGCACTCGTCGAGGGTCTTGCATTTTAGGTACTCTTCCTAGATTAGTTCAAACTACTTAAGGGCCTTTCCTCGGAGGTAGGTGGCTGCGTGTACTACTTTTTCGGTCTCGTTAGTGAAATCTCCGTGGTAAAAGTTCTAGTAGTTTTTAACCTGAATCAGGAATCCTTTAAAGGTCCCGGGGGTTCCGTCGTAGGTAACAGGCGCACTAAGCTTAAGCTTTTGTCGTCCTCCGTAGACGGGCGTGGTGACGATGTTAGCGGCGGCCCGGAGGGTGGTGATTTCCCCCTGGAGTTCCTAGATCTTCCGGAGGTTGGCGTCCCCCTTGATGTCTTCTTCTAGCTTCTTGTAGGCCTGTCCAGCGTGCTGGAGTTGCTCGTTAAGGTTTTCTATTGCTTGTCGGTTTTCGTTGACGATTTTCTACATGTCTTTTGTCTCGGCTTCTTGTTTCTGGATTATGCGTCGGAGCTTATCGTAGCTTTCCTTAGTGAAAGAGCCATCTCTATCGGAGTCGTACTTAAGGTCCGGCATGTCGAAGTCCTCAGTGTTGGCGGGCTCCTGCGCGAGGCTCTGAGGCTGGTTGCGCGAAGAGGATGAGGATCCTGGAGTGGGTGATTTGGCAGAAGCGCGAGAAGACATCTTGTCTATACTGTTTAGTAGTTCTCAAAAGGTGACTTACTGAACAGGAGCAATCAAAGTGTTACGGCTAGCTAACTGACAGTGGGTTTGTATTAACAGTAAGCCAGGGATTGAGAGTAGTAACAGTCGTTCCGTAGTCCTGGTCGAATAGATCGTAGATCTTCAAAGGTCTTGGTGATCAGTCAAGGCCTCAACAAGAGTCGTAGAGTAGTCGTCACTTAGGTATAGCTGAAAGTACCGGTTAGGGTAATCACAAAGTTGATTGCTGAAGAGCTATGGAAGTCTGTCCTCGAGCCCGGCTCGAGTCCATCCTATATACAAGTCCTGAACGGTCCTCCTTATCTTGGCTATGTTGGATATTTGACATATCCAACATATCCGGGGATCGGTTGGATATCTGACATATCCAACATATCCAGCCCGGGTTGTCCCTACCCCGCGTTATCCCCGAGGCCACGTGACTTGTCCATAGTTCTTCCGTTCCGAGGATCCCTGGTTACACCTGTCGGCTGGGTTACATATGCCCTGCGTTAGCCGCCGGGATCCAGGCGGGGTCGTGTTGGCGACCATGTCCAACGGGTCGTAACACTAGGAAGTTAAGGCAGCTAGTCTGTTCGATATAAAGTTGCTATTCGTTAAGCAAGTACTCGTTCTTATCCTAGGTGACAGGTAGATCGTTAGTAGTCGCTATAAGCGTCTTAATAGCGTTTAAACCGTTAAAGTCGAATCGTTAAAATACTGCTTTTATATACTTAGCTTGGGAAACGAAAATCTTACTAGCAGCCCTGTCGCGTTTAATCTAGAAACCGAGAAAATCGGTAGCCTCGCCGAGGTCTTTAAGAGAATAGACCTTCTCGAGGAGATAACAAACTTCTATCATGACTTGCTTGTTAGGAGCAGCGATAGCGTTATCGTCGACGTATATAAGAATATACGCTTTAATCTTATAGTTAATAAAAAGACAAACCTCCCTATTAATAATAGTAAAGCTAATTCGTTCTATTTTACCCTTAATAAGTCGAAACTACTAAAATAGTAATTTTCTTAATCTATAAAATGCTTTATAAAGTAGCTAAACCTTGTTATCTATAATAGTATAGCTAGCAAGGGGCTGGATATATACCTTAACCCCTTCTAAAATCAAGGCGGCTAGGAAAGCAGTATCGAAATCATATACTTCGTATTCGAGATCGAGAAGTATAATAACTACGAAGAAAAGGCAGGTTACGGTAGTAGAGGCAACTATAGCGTAAACCTTTTATAATAACTAGTTACCTTTCTTATAGTTTCTATAAACTATATATCAAGCCTTATAGCGTACGATTTCGTTATTTTTATTTATTTTAATATTATATACCTATTTGCTAGGCAAGACTTTAGCATTACGTAGTAGGTAAGCGACTTCGTAAACCCCCTTTTCCGTAAATTAAGTTATCTCTCGTTTAAAGGCTTGTTCCTACTAAGGCTACTATAGGCTCTTCTACGCCTTACGGTAAGACTTCGGGATTACTACGCCGTCAGGTAGGACTTTTAAAAAGGCAGTAGTAGAAAGTATGCTAAGAGAAAATTAACAAGAAGTTAGTAAAGCTAGAATATTAGTAGATAGGAAGGTCTTTTTAGCATAGGAGCGTATGCTACTAGCGGCTTGGTAGTAACCAGGTGGTTGCTAGGCTGAGGCGCGGCGAGGTCGAGAGGACTCTGCTAGTTAACTCGTTACTTCCTTAACAATCGTAGAGAGGGAATCAAGGTCCTAGTAATTAGTTTCTATTATTTCTACGGAAGCGACGAATTCGTTATTATTTAATTCGTTAGTAATACTATTACGAGGTATAGTAGTAGTCTCTAACAGGTTCTCTAGTAGCGGAGATATAAGATATATATTAGTAGGTACTATCGCTTTTTTAACGATAGTCTTATCTAGTTTAGGATTACTAGTTACGGGTTTTTTACTTTTAATAGGCTTCTAATAGATAGTATACTAGATAATAATATCTAGTTTAATAAACATAGTATTATATTTAATTTTATTAATATTAGGTATGCTAGTAGTTAGAGGCAATACTATCTTATACGGTTCCTTACGAAATCGAATATCTCTATAGCAAATAACCTCCTTTCGATCAGGCAGGTAAACGTAGTAAATATAGCTACGAAGAGAACCGTAACCGACGAGGAATCCCTTGATTGCTCGTAGTTCTATCTTAGCAAAGCATATAGGGCGTCGAGGGCCTTTCTTATATACGTAGGCAGCATAGCTAAACGTTCGGAGATGTTTAATATAGGGAGCCTTACGTTTAGCAGCTAAGTTTAGCTCTCTCGCCATAATCTCGTAAAGGCTTAAGTTACCTTTAGAAGGTATAGGCAAGAGGTTAAGAATCTAAGTTACCGAATCAATGTTATAATCCTATAGCTCTTCTAGAAGGGATATGTTAATTAGCTATGTCTAGGCGCCTTCGACGATAGTACGACTAGCATGCTTAATAATACTATTTATAGAAGGCGTATAGGTAATAGTCGTGTTATAGTAAGTACCTTCGAAGTAGGGGTTGTTAAAAACCTTAATTAGCTTGGGAGTATTATTAGTGTTACGACCCGTCAGATGCACTTAACAGGACCCACTCGGTTGGGCGGTTATGACAGGACTTTGTATGCAGGGCCACGGGAACAAAAGGTAACCTCTCGGAACGGAAGAACTATAGAACGGAACAAGTCACGTGATGAATCATTCTAGGTCAGAATGATCCAAGAAGAGTTGGGGGCCAACGGATCATGTTCGATCAATATGATCTCCAACGACTACAGACAATACGTGTAGATAGACTCCTATATAGACCAGGACTTGAGTACCTGCTCAAGCCCTCTAGATAGTTCTTCAGCAATCAACTTGTGATTCATCCTCGAATGACTTTCAGCTTACCTCTCAGTATTGTGAATACTAAGAACCTCGTTACCATAGTGTAAGACTGATCACCTTACCCTAACCCTACGATCTACCAGAACGACCTCTACGAACCAGTGTTAGTCTCTTACTGCACCTTCTGTTAGCAGAACCCTACTGTCAGATAGCTGGCCGTAACATTAGTCTTCTTAGGAGGCATTATAATTAATTAGTTTCTATTAATATAATTAGTAAACGATCGAAAATAAGTAGCTAACTATATACGTAGTTATATAAATAGCGTTAATAAGCGATTTTAGTAATTTATATATATATTTATTATAGTTATTAAGGAAAGAGAAAATTTCGTAAGTAAGTAGTAGAAAAATTTCCCCTAATGTTACGGTCAGCTATCCGACAGTAGGGTCTGCTAACAGAAGTTGGGGATTGACGCTAGTAAACAGTATTGTCGTGTCGTAAGTCTGGTTCGTAGGTCGTAGGCTGTGTCGTAGATCGGTAGTCAGAGGCTAAGGTGATCAATCTTAGGCTCAACAAGTATTCGCAGTGAAGGTAAGCTGAAAGTATCCTGAGGATGAATACAAAGTTGATTGCTGAAGAGCTATGGAAGTCTGACTATGAGTCGAGCTCAGGTCATACTATATACAAGTCCGAACAGTACCCTTTGTTTGTTTTACCGTTCCTGATCCTGACGGGGTCCGTTCCTCGTTCATACGGATCCCGTATGTGCCAAGGACGGACTCCGTATTCTTGGCGTACGGATCTAATCTCTTATCTTATCGTCACGTGACTTGCACCATAGTTCTTCCGTTCCCGAGTGAGTCCCTGTTGTTCCCGTGATCCTGCAGTACAAATGTCCTGTTCTAGCCGCCCGACGCCCAAGTGGGTCGTTCAGCTGTTATCCTTGTTTACGGGTCGTAACACCTAAGTATAATAATTCGCCTTAGGAAAGTAACTATGCTTGTTAAACTATAGAAGGCAAGCATACCCCTCGGTAGTATGCCTGCTTTACGATTACCTATAGCGACGGTATATAAGGGATAACTACTTTTCCCTTATATAACGCGTAACGTATTTAATTATATCTCTTTTATTAATTCCTTTATTAGATTTATATTTAGAAATAGCTATTTTAGCTAATTTATTACGAATTTAGCAATATAAGTAGTAGGAAAATAGGGAGAATTAACTATATATAGACGCAGGCGCGTCTAGGGGGGTATATCATAATGCCTTCGAGGCGAAGTACATAGCCTTACCATCACGTAACCTATATATCGCCTATAGGGATAATCCCGAAATAGAATAACCGGAATATCTTTATTCCGCTTTGCCTACAAAACATATTTAGGCACGATATCGTTCCATAGTATAGTTAGGAGAAGACAAGCTACTCAATCTACTACTTTGAATACATGCCTACGTTCAGCACTTTGCTTCACCACATCATTCAAGCCTGGTGGGAATATCGCTTGAGCCATGCAGATAAGATTTAACATTCAACAGTATATTGAATCCCTCGCCTAGTTATGGACAACCACCGAAATACTGTCGGTTCTCCTTAAAGGTCTCTGTAACTATCGCGTCATAACGAGGCAGTTCATCCACTATCGGGATAAATTTTATTCGTAATCCATAGTGATCACATTCAACCGGCTAGTAACCTTATTCTCGGGGTAGCTAGGTGTTCCAAGTGTCCGAGCAAAATTGTATCTAAACATGAGTTGCCTTCACTAATGCACTTCATGCAGAATACATAAGTCATCGCTAGAATATTGTGACGAACTAGGCACATAGCAATCAGGCTAGAAAAGGTGTAAAAGAGTGACTTGATTTAGAAAGAGGATATGTGCATGAGAGAGCTCGTACTTATACGCCTACGGTGTGCGTTTCATGTAGCTTACGTAAACACACCTCGCTCGGTGTGTTCGGTGAGCGTTGACACTATCGTCACAAATATTATTCATAATCACTCTCATATTAAGACTCAATTTAGTTAATGGTAAGTTTTCAATCGCTGTCAAAGTGCTGAGCCGCTTCTTCTTTGACCGACGGAGAATACGTTCAAATACACTTTCGAGGTATAGGATAAGAGCTGGAATTACAAGCCAATATTTTTCCAGAGCCGCCCAAATCAGTAGTTGCATTATTCGTGCTGGAATAGGAGGAAAACTCTTTCACGTTGCTGATACATCTCTGTAGCTGAATGCTAAGGCCAACATTAACTACGTAAAACAAGTTTCTCGCCCTTATACACAGCCGAGCGAGACGTTCCTTGCCCTTCAGTCTACATGATGGAGCCGAGTTTCGCCACCTGCATCTCCTCGACACCGTCCCGGCATGTTGACAAGGTTCATCATATCTTTCTGTGCCAGTCACCATAACGTCGGCTGAGAGGGAAGCAAAGTTCCAACTTCCCGTATATAACTAATTTGTCATACTCTCAATCCTAATTGGTCGATGTATTCGTATTTCACCGCACTCCGAATCTTGACATGTATGATGGAGAGTAGATCAGAACAGCTGACTCATTCCTGGAGTCGACGAAACAATTCGTTACAAATTGAGTAAGAATACTAGCAAAGCTCCTCCCGCCTTCGCCAGAAACTTTCGCATCCTCTCATGAGCTATACACTGATAGAAGGCTAGCACATCATGGTCTAGATGTGTGATCGTATCATTCCTACTTGAGTGGCAGCGTATGAAACTCGCATGCAGCTAGGTAAACAGTTTCGGCTACTGATAGAAGCTCGCTGGGATATCACTAATACGCATTGGAACGAGTCGGCATAACGTCGCTCGAATTATCACTTGCCGTGCAAGACATCACTAATTGTTTGCGGCCAAGTCATTGAAATTCAAATAAGTGAGTTTGCGTTGAACAAGTAACGTACATGATAAGCGAGTGAGACAGACAAGCGAGTGAGACAGTAAACCGCGACCGTCGCACCTTGACGCGACCGGCACCTTTTCCTCTACAATAAATCATGGAATCAGCTAGTATTGAAAGAAGGTTACAAATTGCCCTTCAAGCAATGAGAAATGACCCAAAACTTAGTGCTCGGGCCGCAGGTGCACTCTATACAGTCAGTCACGCAACATTAAGCCGGCGACTAAAGGGAATAGTCTCACGACGCGACAGCATGCCTAATTCACGGAATTTATCAGATTTAGAAGAGAAGACAATAGTTGAGTATATTCTCGACCTAGATGCGCGATCATTTCCTCCCCGGCTGAGTGGTGTGGAAGAAATGGCCAATCGACTTCTCGCAGAGCGCGACGCGCCTCCAGTTGGGAAGCGCTGGGCTTCTAATTTCGTCAAGCGACAACCACAGCTTAGGACGCGTTTCTTTCGCAAGTATGACTATAAGAGAGCTCAATGCGAAGATCCAGAGGTGATTCGTGGCTGGTTTTCGCTTGTGAAGAATACAATTGCGAAGTATGGTATTGCTGATGCTGATATCTACAACTTTGATGAGACCGGCTTTATGATGGGCGTTATTGCTTCTGGAATGGTTGTTACAAGTGCTGAAAGGCGTTCAAATACGAAGATGACACAGCCTGGCAATAGGGAATAGGTTACAGTTATCCAGGCTATTAATTCCCAAGGGGAGAGCATCCCGCCATACATCATCGTTGCAGGCCAGTATCACCTCTCAAGCTGGTATACAGAAACCTCTCTTCCGGGCGATTGGGCTATTGCAACGTCTGAAAATGGATGGACAACAAACGAGAGAGGTATTGACTGGATCAGACACTTCGACATTTATACAAAACCACGTACGTCTGGGAAATATCGCCTCCTCGTTGTTGATGGTCATGAAAGTCACCACTCCGCAGCCTTCGAGCTCTTTTGTCAAGAAAACAACATTATTACACTGTGCATGCCGGCTCACTCGTCTCATCTACTTCAACCCTTAGATGTTGGTTGTTTTCAGCCGTTAAAGAATGCCTACGGTCGGCAAATTGAGAATAAGATGCGGCGAGGCACAACCCATATCTCGAAGGAAGATTTCTTTGCAGCATTTCACGAAGCTTTTAAGCAGTCTTTTACGAGGAAAAATATCCAGGGAGGTTTCCGAGGAGCTGGACTTGTCCCTTTGAATGCAGAAAGTGTTCTCTCAAAGCTGGATGTAAAGTTCCGAACGCCAACGCCTGAGGAGGGGGTCCCTCAGACACCAGACCCTTGGATCTCTAGGACGCCGAGCAACCCAAGCGAAGCAAGATCACAGTCTACTTTTATTAAGAGTCGAATCTCACGCCACCGAAGCAGCTCTCCAGCATCAATTTATAGTGCTGTGAGTAAGCTAGCCAGAGGGACAGAAGGACTAGGGCATCGGGTAGCATTACTAGAGTCAGAGGTTCAAATCCTTCGAGAGGAGAATGCAATATTAAGTCGGCGTCGAAGGGCTAAGAAAACACGTCTACAGAAAGGAGGAAGTCTTACTATATCTACTGGAGAGGATATACAGTCGCAAAGAGAGGCAGACACGCAACTACAAGAGGAAACGCGACGGAGTAGTGGTCGCAAAGTGAGGTCTGAGACGACTCATCGTCGGTGTGGCGTATGCGGGAATACAGGCCACAACGCGAGAACATGTCAATTTATTGAGGAAACATCCGAAGAACAGGAATCCGAGTAGTATTAATCAATCTAAGATTTCTTGTTATAGATTTCGATATTATTGTCGCGAAGGTCTGGTTTACTGTCTCACTCGCTTGTCTGTCTCACTCGCTTATCATGTACGTTATGAGTAATAGTTAATAAAATGAAGCGATTATATAATACTTTCAAGGCTCAGCTTAAGAAACCAACGTGACTGAAGCCATTGATACGCCCTTATTTGACGCCAATATAGAACCAGACTGGCGTCGGAGCAGTGCAGATGGTAGTTTGGAGGGGGCCTGCGCGGCATATGGTAGGAACATCTCTGCTGCCAGAAGCTCCACTCCTACTCCAAATGTCAGTTGCATGATTCTTCAAACACTGTAAAACAATGGACAACTTACGCAACACCCCACTGATGGTAGACGCGGATGCCCCAGGTATCAAAAACACCTTCGATTAGAGCAAAGCTATATTTGCTGTCACCACATTTGTACTTTTCGCCCAAGACAACTCCATCGGACTTGGAGCATTCGATTTCGCCGGCATCAGGGCCCGTAATGTGCAACCCAACAGACTCAACGGTTCCATCTAGCTTATGACGGGCGCTGAAGTCATTGACTATAACCCTCTGGGTTCTGGGGTCGGCGTTGTCGCGTTGAGGGGCAGCTGCAACAGAGGCAACCAAGGCGGTAATAAGCACAGCACTATTGAAGTGCATTTTGGCGAGAATTTAGGGGTTCAAATATCAGTTATAGTTGAAGTCGATTTGATGGTTGTGAGATGACAAGGAAGCGTAAAATGGAGGGTGTCTGATCTGATCTTTTATACATATGTGTGCTTTTGGGTGCCGGGGGTCATTTCCGCTGAAGATAGTATGAGATTTGCAAAAGAGCGACTTGCGAATGTCATGAGTCTGTGGCGAAGTAGAAATACGAGTCGACCTTTGGTGGGAATGGGTCTGACTGTGAACTGGCCAACAAGGAAGTTTGCCCAAAATAATGCCAACGCATATAAGCGCTTATTCAGAAAAGTAGGCAGAGCTCTCGTATTCTTTCGCTCTGTTTCTGCGTTCCGTATGTCTTAGAACCACCTCCCGCGGTATTCCGCTTTTAGCTCCGCATCCGCAGTGTTCCAGCTTGGCAACCAACTTATCCATATTCTAGATTAGAAATATATCATGATTTAATATCAATATCCATCTAGAATATGTAAAACAGTATATATTCTCACTCCGCTTTAAATGTCTAAGTCGAGCATCAACGCTGGAGAAATTGTCTAGATCATCCCGTAGGCATCACGTTTCAGAGGGTTCTTCAGGGATAACTAGGAGGCTTCAATCCGGAGCAAGACGGATACTGCCGTTAGTATTCATCAACCTAGTGATGTACTCTGGCACGGTATCTCGAGTTTGTGGAACACCAGCCGCATGCTATAAGGGGAGAGCTTCAAGGGAACCACCAATCAGATGGGAAGGTTTATCCTTCATTGGCGGAGGCTTCCAGGCCCATTAAGAACTACACGCAATGCAACATAACGAAAAATACCGTCTTAATGAAGTGGTCTGTTGTATACCGAACCATTTGTGTCGCTTACTTACTACCAGCCGCCTGATCATCTATTTACGACAGAGATAAGTTTGCTACCCCGTATGACCTTCCCTTGGCCCCTGTCCTGAGCCTTCCCTTGGCCCCTGTCCTGAGGCGGGGTTCAGGAGCAAGTGCAGTATTGTAGCGGAATTCCATACGGCTACTCCGTAATCGTCATAGTGGGGCCACAAGAAACAAGTTTATATAGGCGTTTGGTTCCTGGGCTTGTGCAATGGTCCCTGATGGTGGCTATGGGACTGGATCGCCATAGCAGTTCACCAACGATCACCTTGCTGCTGGAATGCTGTCGCTGTTAACCATTTTCCAATGCTGAGATATGAGCCTCAGATCAAAGCTTTTGATGCTGTCCTCATTTCTTCAAATCTCGATCGCATCCGTGACAGTAGAAATGCCCTGTAAATCTATCGTGTCGTATTTCATCTTCGTCCCTGAAGGACTTAGGTTGCCGCGGGATAGGCCACCCAAACGTAAAGCCAGGCATCTCCTCTTGCTGAGTGTATGTCAGGAGAGAGCGTGCGCGAGTACTATATGAAATCCTGTTTCAGAAGAACTGATATATTCCCCCAAGTCGCGGGACGACAAGGTCTTCTAGTCTAGCCAAGGTAGCTGGAGGTTAGTGTTGTTGCCTTCAAAGTGATTAGCGATGATCTCTTGTATTCCTTTTCTCGCTGAAATAAAAACTTGCAAGATCTTTGGGTCGCTTTTGCACTTCTCAAGGGTGGTATCGTCCGTGTCGAATGGCAGAATGTTAAGTAAGTAATGTACTATTGCCACTCACGAGCTCGTTCTTCCACCAACTCCGCATAGCATCCCCAAAGTTCTCATCAATTTCTAGCTTCATGATAGTTTGAATCACAGCGCCGTTGGCGTTTATCGATAACAAGTAGATCATAAATAGACCAAGTCGTATTGCTTTTTCACAGTCTTCACAGTTGATTTCTCCCGCAAGATTGTAAACAATGTTTGTCAGATAGGCCCTTCCAAACATAGAAACTATATTATAGCAACAGATAAGCTCAATACCACCATTGGCTCTCGAAATCAAATCAGTTGCTAGCACAGTCTTGCTGCTGCTAATGGATGGAAGTGTATGCGCAATTTTCAAGTATGTGTTTTGATGTTTCTCCGAGGTATCCTTCACGGTAGACGAGTTGTAACGCTGCGAAACTCGTCGACATTCGATGGTAGATATGCGTCCGCCAAAAGCATAGTCATCACAAAGCCGCCGATCATCGTGGCGTAAACTGCTAAGCTGAGTAATCCCATGTCATCGAGGACAGACAGCAGAAGGCTTTTGGAAACTTGTTAATAAGACTATAAAGTGTGATGGATAGCATGAATTTCCAAGAGAACTGCGCGATTTTTCTGGAGTTTTACAGTACTTATTGCATAAAAACGCAGACCTAGTGTTTCTGATTTGCTTGAAGCTGACCACCCGGCAGCCCGAGGTCGCCCGCTCCTAAACAGTTGCAACAAGCAATAGAGCTCACAACATAAATTTGCTAGAATGTTGCTTCTTATTAGTGACCCAATTCTCCCAATCGTGTCTGCTATGAGTGTCCGAATATGCATTTGAACCAGCTACCAACTGGCCAACATCTCTCTATACAACGGTGGGATGGATCCACCAACAGTAATTATGCTAAGAATCTTATACGGATCTGAAGTGTTACAGGCTACTTTCTAATGAATCAATCTTCTCTTTGCTAGAGGGTTATGGCCTGGATTGTGGAAATATCAGCTTTAGATCGAACCGTTAGTTGCATTCGCTAAGCTGTGGAAACTCACTTCTCATCTTTTAACATCTAGGTACATAGAAGATATGCAATGCAAATGCACAGCCAACGCAAAACGCCCACCCCCCGCTTCTAAGCTCTAGGCAGACCTCTGGGCCACACCAATCAGATTAGAATAGAAAACAGCACATAATTTATTAGATAGCTCAAGCTACCGCCAATCATAGGATGGCTTACAAAACGGGATTGTGAGATCCACAGGCACACCAGTGCCTCATCCCTAACATAACGTAGATCTGCTAGTCACCAAGGAGATAGATCTACTGTTGAGAAAGCTACTACGAAGATTGTTCGGGGTTTTTCGAGATATTAAGGTATTAGACTCACGATCTCCGACTTTGTGGTGACTTACTTGTCTTTTATAAGTCCCAACCCATGATCTCGCCTTCAACAGCGTGAGTAGACTCGAGGGTTATAGTTCGGCAATGGTTACTCAGTTTCAAATAAACGACAAGCATAAAGAAGGATACACGGGGTAGTACTTTAACTGGCATCTGATGCATCCACCGGCTTGCTTTTAACTTTAATTGCTTTACGGGTATGAGAACCTTCGGTTTTCCCCGGCTCTCCAGTGACAAAAGTTTGTGCCTCCATTGCACATGCACGTGCATCTGGCATCACACATTTTGTCACTTCCACCACTGTGAACGCATCGTTCCAGCCCTCGTTCAGTCTTAGCTTTTCACTTTATTAATCTAACCAAATTTCGACCTCATCCTCCAATGCCCTACCCATGAAGGTTTTCGGGCGCAGCAGCTTCATTGTGCTGTCAATTTCATGTCTCAAGACTGTTGAAGATTCAGGTAACGTACATGATAAGCGAGTGAGACAGACAAGCGAGTGAGACAGTAAACCGCGACCGTCGCACCTTGACGCGACCGGCACCTTTTCCTCTACAATAAATCATGGAATCAGCTAGTATTGAAAGAAGGTTACAAATTGCCCTTCAAGCAATGAGAAATGACCCAAAACTTAGTGCTCGGGCCGCAGGTGCACTCTATACAGTCAGTCACGCAACATTAAGCCGGCGACTAAAGGGAATAGTCTCACGACGCGACAGCATGCCTAATTCACGGAATTTATCAGATTTAGAAGAGAAGACAATAGTTGAGTATATTCTCGACCTAGATGCGCGATCATTTCCTCCCCGGCTGAGTGGTGTGGAAGAAATGGCCAATCGACTTCTCGCAGAGCGCGACGCGCCTCCAGTTGGGAAGCGCTGGGCTTCTAATTTCGTCAAGCGACAACCACAGCTTAGGACGCGTTTCTTTCGCAAGTATGACTATAAGAGAGCTCAATGCGAAGATCCAGAGGTGATTCGTGGCTGGTTTTCGCTTGTGAAGAATACAATTGCGAAGTATGGTATTGCTGATGCTGATATCTACAACTTTGATGAGACCGGCTTTATGATGGGCGTTATTGCTTCTGGAATGGTTGTTACAAGTGCTGAAAGGCGTTCAAATACGAAGATGACACAGCCTGGCAATAGGGAATGGGTTACAGTTATCCAGGCTATTAATTCCCAAGGGGAGAGCATCCCGCCATACATCATCGTTGCAGGCCAGTATCACCTCTCAAGCTGGTATACAGAAACCTCTCTTCCGGGCGATTGGGCTATTGCAACGTCTGAAAATGGATGGACAACAAACGAGAGAGGTATTGACTGGATCAGACACTTCGACATTTATACAAAACCACGTACGTCTGGGAAATATCGCCTCCTCGTTGTTGATGGTCATGAAAGTCACCACTCCGCAGCCTTCGAGCTCTTTTGTCAAGAAAACAACATTATTACACTGTGCATGCCGGCTCACTCGTCTCATCTACTTCAACCCTTAGATGTTGGTTGTTTTCAGCCGTTAAAGAATGCCTACGGTCGGCAAATTGAGAATAAGATGCGGCGAGGCACAACCCATATCTCGAAGGAAGATTTCTTTGCAGCATTTCACGAAGCTTTTAAGCAGTCTTTTACGAGGAAAAATATCCAGGGAGGTTTCCGAGGAGCTGGACTTGTCCCTTTGAATGCAGAAAGTGTTCTCTCAAAGCTGGATGTAAAGTTCCGAACGCCAACGCCTGAGGAGGGGGTCCCTCAGACACCAGACCCTTGGATCTCTAGGACGCCGAGCAACCCAAGCGAAGCAAGATCACAGTCTACTTTTATTAAGAGTCGAATCTCACGCCACCGAAGCAGCTCTCCAGCATCAATTTATAGTGCTGTGAGTAAGCTAGCCAGAGGGACAGAAGGACTAGGGCATCGGGTAGCATTACTAGAGTCAGAGGTTCAAATCCTTCGAGAGGAGAATGCAATATTAAGTCGGCGTCGAAGGGCTAAGAAAACACGTCTACAGAAAGGAGGAAGTCTTACTATATCTACTGGAGAGGATATACAGTCGCAAAGAGAGGCAGACACGCAACTACAAGAGGAAACGCGACGGAGTAGTGGTCGCAAAGTGAGGTCTGAGACGACTCATCGTCGGTGTGGCGTATGCGGGAATACAGGCCACAACGCGAGAACATGTCAATTTATTGAGGAAACATCCGAAGAACAGGAATCCGAGTAGTATTAATCAATCTAAGATTTCTTGTTATAGATTTCGATATTATTGTCGCGAAGGTCTGGTTTACTGTCTCACTCGCTTGTCTGTCTCACTCGCTTATCATGTACGTTATACCTTTATGCTTTACGTGTACAGCTTGGCGGTATAACGTATCAGCCAATGAAACACCTTTGCTTGATACCTTCTTTACACCATTTCGGACTCTTTAGACACCCGCAGCTCAGGCTATGGCCTCAAAGCCCGTACCATGATGTACATTGCCCCACTCAATTAGGTTATTGGTAATTGTGGTTCCACTCTGTCATAACAATGGTGAGCCCTCTGCTTCTGCGAATTTGACTCTAATAGTTTTGGATCAGCAAAGCGGCATTTGGTAGAAAGCGAGTCTAAGAGGTCTGTTAAGGGGATACAAATTCAGAGAATACCGAAATGAAAAAGTCGGGAGACAGTTTCTGAGACCCTTAAAACTTGGGCGGTACATGTCATGACATGAGGCGCAGTTGCGGCATTGCAGTTGTGGTTCCACATTTACCAGAAATATTTTGAGAAGCATCCAAGCCTGACTCGTATTTGTGAAATTGGCATTGTGTTATGAAGATCGATTATGAGCTATGCCCATTTGGGCGTGGATAGATTAACTCAAAACTAGTCTCGGTGAACCATATTAGAGTTCTTTTAAGTTTCCTGGGGATGTTGAAGAATAAAGCACCGGATGATCAATTTACAGTAGTTTGTATTAGATTACAGGTCACTTGTACGTCCACAATCCAGCGTTATGTCTGATCGTACAACAGATTTCTATCTATATAAAGTACGGCTGCTGGAGAACAATCTGAGCTTCTTGCCTCGCAAACTACATGAATTCTTTGTGCCTTTGAAAACAAGTGAACCAACTCATACTCGATCACGATGCATCTCTCGGTATCCCTGACTCTGTTTCTCGCAGGCCTTCCTTTGGCTCTGGCCCAAGACTGCAGCCCAGGCAAACTATCAGATGATCCCTCTGCATACTGCTATGGCTTTGTACGTCATATAATGCCATTCGAATGTTAAAATTGGAGCTTCAAACTAATCATGTTCATTCAAATGTAGCCTAATACTCAAGCATTCTTCGTAAGTGTCCCTTTGGGTCTTTACTACGTGAACACATTTTGTTGTGTAGCATCTGACACCACTTCTTAGTGCTATAAATATGACATGAAGACCGGCCCTGTTCCACCCCCTGGCCGTACATGTCAAATTAGGGGCTCTGAGATGATCAATGGGAGAAACAGATACGGCTTCTGCGTAAGGCGTCTTGTCTCATTTAAAAAACATAATTTCTAACCGATCACAGTGCAACCGGTAATACAGCATTTGAGATGACGAATGTTTAGAGCGGTGTGAGACCCATTTTAAGGCAGGGCAATACACCACTAGATGTCCTCTCAAATGGACAGTGAATCTCGGCTTGAGCGGTTGTGTGTGAGGTGAGAGCATTTCACTTCTAACGCTCGACCTAATACAAGGAGAGTGGATAGACGTGAGCACAATCTACAAATCATACAAGCGTTGCGTGGCATTAAGCGCTCCATAGCAACATGTACATAAAAATTGCGGTTGTAGCTTGATCTAGTCACGGAAGCGTATTTTGTTCTAACAACTGCTACGAGGCGTTTCATAAATTCAGCGTCAAGAAAGTATGAATGATTAACTTGCGTGTGACGAAGGAAGCAGCTTATTGTTTAACCAGCTCCGTATGGCAAGCATGTTAGCCGGGAATTACTCATTTGGAGTGCGGTTCTCAGTAGTGGATTGTTGGGTTACATGCAACAGTAGGTAACAGCCTTACTCGTATTGAGAGTTTTTAATTTTAATGACGGCTCACTTCATTTCGGTGGCCTTCTTCAAGTATGTCTAGAACCAGACGAATGGCTGCTTCGTGCATGTGCTGGGTCAGACCCCGCCTACAAGATTGCAGTGGCAGCCGCGCACCAGCCTCCAGCACATATCAATAATAGAGGTGCCACCCCGTTGAGCTAAAACACTCAAAAGGATACGTAACAGCAAATTCTCCACTTTTTGCTTGGCTGCACTTAAGTAGTGACAATGGCACAGCTATCAATCGGGAATAGCCCGTAACAATGTAGCCCTATTAAGCTCCTGAAAGGTATGCAAGAGTTATTGGATTCACTTTTAGACGGGTGTAAGAACCTTGAGAAGGACATCAGGGGTAGCCTCGGCTTAGAAAACCTGGATCTCTTGCTGTCACCGTGTTCACATCCGTCTTGACCTTCTTAACAGAGGTGATAATGCCAAACCAAGATGATAGCTGATCTCCTTTTCTTTTTCATTCTTCTGCAGATTTCCCTTGGGTTGGGAATTGCTCTCTCAAATAGTACTCATATCCGTCACTTCGATGCGGATGTGTCGGAGCACTCATGGTAGAATATAAGAGGTTTTCTTTTTATTCTTCTTCTTATTATTACTAATCTTACCATTCAGCTTAAAGGTAAATGAGATAGGCAAGCCAGGGTATTATAACCCAACCATAATAAAACAAAGTTGGCGTCAGGCAGTAACGTCTTTACTCTTCTAACCCCAGTATGCCTTTGCTCGCTCCTGTCTCCCACGCCTTCAAGCCAAAAAAAAAAAAAAAAAAAAAAAAAAAAAAAAAAAAAAACAATCGAACACGCGGATTTAATATTTCTTACTTACGAAATCACCGCAAGAAATCGAGTCGCAGAGATCCTGCAATACAGTAACAATACGGTTCAGTATTCGAAATAAACTATGGTTTTTAAAGCTACACGGTGGTATTGAGATATATTTCCAAGTCTCGCGGTTTGTAGTGACTTCATCAATGTTACCCAGTCAAGCAATCGAAAGCTGACAGAGGACCGCGGAGACCCTTTCATTCAGCGTTGCCCTTAAAAAGGCTCAATCCAAGCTTCTATATCCGACTCGGCGCTTTAACAGCCTTAGAAAGACACCCGACACTCAATTTCTCTTCACCGTGTTCAACCTGGATGCGGATGAGGTCGGTCAATTAAAATTTCGAAAGTACCTTACAATGCCTAAAAGTTCCATCTAACATTGCGCCTTTCTGTCCGGATGCTTTGGATAACACCTTCAACTGGTGCTTGTCTAGGACATGTAGTTCAAGTTGAAAATAACAAAGGAGATTTGGTGTTGATAGGAGTTAAAATATCCATGGAACTATTGACATGATCACTACGAATAATAGGCAAACATCAAGATTCTACAGACATCTGTTGCATGTGAAACTCATTGGAAAATACTTGGCTAATGTATGTACCAAGATTTGCCCGTCTAGGTTAGCCACAAACGGTAAGATATCTGCAATATTTAGGAATCAGAACCTCTTATCAAGCAACAGTGGTATGGGAGTTGCAGTTGACGACTTTCATAAAAGCACATCGGTTGTCAAATTGAATTGGAACTCGAACAAGATGGGTGAGCTTACACACCGGTTAAGTCTACTCATAGCCGAAATTGGAGCGTTTGGAGGTAGATAGTAACATAGTAAGATGGTTTCACAAAGCATTTTACTGCGTAGACCCTTTATGTTTGTAATACAGCTCAAACTAGGTAAACTGTTGTTTTACTCGCTTATCGAAGAAAATTTCATCAGAATCAGCCGATGCTCTATTCGACTTTCAAATTAATGCATGCCAGGTGCTATTAAGAGATTTATATGACATATTGATGCGCATTCTCCGACGTCTCAACAGCTCGGACTTATTTAAGGTAGGTATATGATATTTCGTGCTTTCATTTAAGCTCTTGTATCATTAGTGTATGTTCACATTTACTTGGTTGCTCAATGCTAACGTGTCTTTGACATCAGGCCGTATTTGGAAGACCAACGTGTCATATCAGACCCAAGCCTTCCTATCATGAAGAGGATGCTATTTGGAGAAACTTTAAAGTGATTAGAGACAGGCTAGTAAATTTCTTCATTAATTGAGCTTGTTGTATAAAAGGCTTCGACGAGCCACTCTCAAGTCAACCGCTGACTCCTACCATACATTGTTTCAAAATGGATGTGGCATTCAGTCGGAAGTTTCGAGCGTATCCGATACCCAGTTTATCTTCCCTATTTGTAATTATCTCCAGACATCTAATTATCTCGGTCCAAGTTGTTGAGTTCACGATCCAGCTTGTCATACTTGCGAAACTTCCACCAAAATAGGATCGAACATATCCCCATGACTCCCGCGATGACGGCATACACAATGACAAGATGAGGGTCCCGTGACACTGGACTAAGCGCCATAGCCATTAGAGACCCAATGCAGGCGCTCAGCTGGACCATAGCCTGAACAATGCTCCTCATCTCCTTGGGAGCCTTGGAGTATGCGTACTCGCTTGCAGTAACGAGGCCGAAAATCTCCGCAATGCCTATAGCTACATATATGGGCAATTGAGCCCAGACATTGATCGCGTTGGGTAGACGTCCGCCGTCTGAAGCGGGACATGCGCGGGGTGCATCAAAGCAGGGTCCTGTGCTGTAAATGATTTTCTGGAGACCTGCTGCGTAGGCCATACCGCAGCCGCATATGAGGAAGGCGACTGAAATTCGGGCCATAGGACCGAAGGAGATACGGTGCTTCGCGAGAAAGTTATATAAAGCCTGGATCACAGGGCCAAAGACCACACAAGCCACACCAGCCATAGCTTGGAGCATGTCATTCGGTACCCCGTGAAGCTGCATCTGGCCGGCTTGCGAAATTAGATTGTTGAACATTTGCGTGATTGCCATATAGAAGAAGGCGAAACAGAAGCTGGGACGTGTCAGTTTTCAAGAGCGGCAAGTAATAACATATGCTTTTGAACGAACATGACACGACACGCCAAGAGACCGCGTCTTAACTCGTCCACGAACTTGTCACTCCATGAGACCAAGATACCACGATTCTCCATCTGGTATGATTGCTTCGCATGATCCAGCTTGAGCCCATTTTTTGCTGCCACTGTCATAACCTTGATAGCTCGTGGAAGACAGTTTTCCCCAGGCCGAATCTTGCCTTCATTCTTTCGTGTCAGTGTTGTTCAAAGTCTACCATCTCCGGTGTAGCTCACGTACCTAAGCGTGGCCCAAATATCAAAAGAAGGCTCACGGCAATCATAAGTGAGGTGGCTGCCATGAGATAGGCCGCCCAAAAGTCATACTCCTTTTCTAGGATTGTGGCGGGAATGGACGAGAGGGAAGCTATATTTGTGAACCTGAGAAAAGATGGTGAGCGGGCCATGATGGAAGATTCAACAACGTTCTCACCAGTAAAAGGCATTGTAGAGAAATTGCAGCGTTCTTGTGCTGTCGACAACAACAAGAGTCCCATTCTTTTGCCGAACGAGTTGAGGACTCTTTTGGACATACTGATCGCCTGGGAGAAGTTGTTAGACAAGTAGCCCCCCTCATATCCTTCCTTGAATGGGTGTTTCTTACCAATGAATGGGGAAACGGTTGCTTTTGTTGCACCAACACCCAGTCCTACTAGGACCATAGCGACAATTAAACCTGGAAGACCTGCACCTCTGTCAAGGGAAAAGGGCAGGGCTGTAACAAACATGATGAGTGACCCGCAAAACGACAAGCTGAAATTTCGTCAGCTTATCCGCGCAATGGGACATCAAGAGACTCCAACATACAAAAGCCCCAGTAATAGGGTCTTGTAACGGCCAAGCCATATGTCAGAGACAATGGCGAAGCAACTGGGCGTTAGGAAAAGAAAGATAAAAAATCCATTGGATATTGCTGTTGCCTTTGCCTGCCCCAGTCCGAGAGCTCCTGGTACAAATTGAGAGTCTCGTTCGTTTTGAAGATAGTTTTCTGAGATAATCAGTCAGTTGAGACCAACCCATAAAACAAGCCGTGGGTGGAAGCAAACGTGGGGGTTGACGGGGGTGGCGGTCGGACAGCACTCACGCCAAATGGAAACGAAACAGTAATAGCTGAACCTCTCAGACGCTCCAATCAGAGCGGCTGCCCACGCTGGGGATGGAATTTTGTCAACAATGTGTGGGAGATTCTCTATCTCGTCGTCTGTTGCATCTCTAGGGAGAGTATCGACAGCCTGGGCCTCAGGCGAAGAACTTTTTTTGTCAACAATGCCCATGTTGATGAATCCCAAAAAGCCACTCTTGCACCATAGACCGAAGCCAGCTCCGACATCATGTGGACGACGGCGGTCGGCGGCTGATTAGTTATTACATGGCCCAACTCGGCAGTTCAAGTTGGCCTTTTGATCAAAAGAATAGGTTAGGGTAACATACAAGCACAGTGCTAGCCCTACTGTTCAATAAGCAAGTGCCAAGCTGACGCCAAGCTGCAGCCAAGCACACCAAGACGGGAAATGCTCTCAAACATGCTCACGACAAGGCCAGACGCAGAACCACGTCCCAAAGGGGAGCGGAACCTATGCTTGGGTCGCGTCCAGGTCAAAAGATGTTTCCCCTTCTCTTTTCTTGTTAGACGGATAAAGGCACGGGTACTTATTAGGCCAGAATTGGCGGGAGAAATGTAATTCATAAAGAATTGCATAGACATAGCCATGGCGTCCAGCTCACAGTCAAAGTACCATATCGGATTCAAGCAGGGAACAATCAAGTTGTTCGAACTGCGCAATGTCTCGACTTGCTTGCAGTACCTGCTCCCGACGCTCAAGTCGCTGCCACCCACCTTCTCCCTCCTGGATGTCGGCTGCGGTCCAGGCAGCATAACCCTGGACCTGGCTCGACATTTTCCCCAGGCCACCATCATCGGGGTCGACCAGAGCGCCGAGGTGACGGAGCGCAACCGGGCCAGCGTTGAAGAGCTCGCTCCCGGAACCCGTGTGGACTTCCGCCAGGGCGACGTGCTCAGGCCCGAGACATTCCTCACCCCGGAGGAGATGGAGGCCAAGTTCGACGTCGTCCACGAGCACACCACCCTCATCTGCATCCCTGAAAACGCCCCAGTACTTAAGCAGATGCGGCTGTTGGCCAAACCAAACGGCGGTATTGTCGCATGTCGCGACGGTGACACCCAGTCGCAGGTGCTTTGGCCACCATGTCCCGAAAACGCAGAGCTACAAGAGCGTATCTATAGAATGAACGGTCTAGAAACGCAAACTGGCCGTCGCCTGATTCAGAAAGCTCTGGCTGCTGGGTTCCGAAGGGACCAGATCACGGCGTCGGCCAGCGTTTTGTCCAACATCACGCCCGAGGAAAGGTTCGCGTACGCAGGTTCTATGCTTGACATCCTCGCCGATGAAAATTCTGAATATCGCCAAGCTGCCACCAAGTTTGGATACACGGAAGAGCAGGTTGAGGTACTTCGAGCAAATATGCAACGGTTTATCGACGCAGAGGACGCTTGGAGGCTGCTCATATGCACAGAGATCATCTGTCGGTTGGACGGATAGTGATTAATTATTAGGCCCGGCTCTAGGCACCACGGCCAAGTGACCAGATTTTGCAAACAAGGACTGTTCCAACAAGTAGGGAGAAGATAGATCACAAATTGAAGACCCCTGGTTGGCTGTACAGTACGAGGAGCCACACATGCCGCGCCAGAAAACTTGCTCTAGGTGGCTTTGGCCAAGCCATTCCAGGGTCGCGCCATACTTTTATTTGTCCCTAACACACCTCCATGTCAGTCTCATCCGTACCATGCCAGCCTCCGAGTAGGCATATAATACTGCTACCTTCTCCCATTTAAAGTGGTTCGTCTGTACCTCTTTGCTTATGTTTTTACACTGCAGCATCTCTTCTAGCACCTGCAGCACAAGCGATATTTCAGCCGTATAGACATGGCGCCGGCATCCCGTCTGCTCGCATCAGGCCTCGCCATAGCCTTGTATACCATTGGCGCTCAAGCTGATGGTACTGGCCTTATTGGATGGGGCAAGACGCTTTACGATCCGACCTGCACCTTTGCCTGTCGTAATGTCCTCAGGAAGCAGACTCTTGCTTGTACTCCAAGTAGTTCCAGCACAAACCATGGAACTGCTCACAATCCCGTTTCGACACCACCCGATTGCTTTGTCAAAGACCACGCCTTCCTTCTTACCATGGCCTTATGCATCGACACATACTGCCCGCTAAGCGACAAGCCACCGATGGCCAAACTGGAGGACTATTGGGCAGCTCATCTGGGCACTGGCACTCTGGGTAATTACAAGTATGTCCCAGTCATGTCATACCAAGAGGCCCTGACCGCCGGTCGGGACGCCGAGTCCAAGGCTGCCCACAACACCAATTCCTCGTCCTCTGGCTCTGGCGACCACGGGCACAGCAGTCACCGAAGGGCGCCGGCCGTCCGACTAAATGCTCGTCATGGAGACATGGGTTCAGACGACGACTCCGGAGGTTTGGAGGTTTACGATGTCTCTAGCCCGTTGCCCAAGGCGGCCGGAGGCTCCAAGCCGCTCAACACCACCAGTTTCGTCGACCCTTCCGACTGGCAGCTACAATGGAATTACTTGCATGATTTCGAGGTCAACGAGGCGACTCACTCTACTGTGACTATTGTCATCACCATCGTCGCTATTTTCTTACCAGTTGCCCTCTCCCTCCTTCGCTTTATTCCAGGCTTCACAAAGAGCCGTGCCTGGACTTACTGGCAGTCTTGGCTCATTCACCCAGTCACCTTTGGCAGGCGTCATCGCGAACCCATTGCCGGCGTTGGCAATATTCCCACTCGTGGCCAGGCCTTGTACATTTTTCTCATTAGTTTCCTCAACATCATCCTGTGGCTCGCCCCTTACACCATTCATCAGCCCCAGGCCAGCTTCACTTCGCTGAAGATGCAGAGCGTTAGTATCATTGGCAACCGTGCCGGCGTTATGGCTATGGGTAACGTTGTTGCCCTTTTCCTCTTTGCAGCCCGCAACAACGTCTTGCTTTACCTTACCGACTGGAGCTACAGTACCTACCTGCTTTTGCATCGCTGGTTGGCGTACTGGGCTATCTTTCACACCATCGTTCACTCCTTCATGCTGCTGGCCAACTACATTCTGAAGGGTACCTATGAGGCTGAGCTGATCCGCCTGTACTGGATCTGGGGCATTGTCGGCACCGTTGCCGTGTGCGCTATTCTGCTGTCCTCCCTGCTGTGGGTGCGCCAGCGCTTCTACGAGATCTTTCTGGCTTCGCACATTGTCTTTTCCCTGCTCTTCATCATTGGCTACTACTATCATATTTGGTACGTCTACCAGTACAACTGGGGTTACGAGATCTGGATCTTTGTCGCTGGCGGCATCTGGGGCGCCGATCGCCTTTTCCGGCTTGTTCGCAGCTTTTTCCAGGGCCTCAAATGGGCTACCATCACCACGGTCGACGATGTTGACGGAGAGTACATCCGCATCGAGGTGGAGGGCAAGCGCCTCAAGGGTGGTGTAGTTTACCTCGGCTTCCCGACTCTCACCTGGCGCTTCTGGGAAACCCATCCATTTTCTGTGGCTTATGCCGGAGATGATGGCATCGCCACGAAGCCTCGAACACAGCATCCGACAGTTCTTAGCTCGAATCAGGAGAACAAGTCCGTCGCAACGCCCGAAACTATTGAAACTGACCCCGAAAAGGTCGTGGAAACATTCCAGGACTCGGACGGCAGCAACACACAAAGAAACACCAACACTACGGTTTTCTACTCTCGCACCCGCAGCGGCATCACCCGCGCCCTCGCTGCCAAAGCGGCCTCGTCCGTCCGTATCCGTGTCCTTCTCGAGGGCCCGTACAGCCATTCGGGGCACATCTCTCCGCAACTCTCCCACTGCACCGATATGATCTGCATTGCCGGTGGTGTAGGAATTACCGCTTGTCTCCCGTTTGTTCGTCACAGCTCAGTCGCGGGAAATACAACCCTATTCTGGTCCAGTCGGCACCAAGGTCTTGTTACGGCTCTCGCTCCTGCTATCGATAGCCTCCCAAGTAGCGTGAAGGTCGAGACTGTTGTTGGCGAGAGATTGAAGCTAGAGGCAATCCTGACCAAAGAGATGCTCGCGGGTTCTGGTGGTCCGTTAGCTGTTGTCGTATGCGGGCCTCCGGGCATGGCGGATGAGGTGCGCAGTAAGATTGTAACATTGGCGAGAACGGAAACAAGAAGCAGACCGTATGTCCTGGTGGACGAAGCGTTCGCGTGGTAAATTCTCAGTGGATACGATAAACTTCTAATACTTTACACAACAGATATCACTATCATTTATATTAGTATTAATTCTTTGGGACTTACACAATCTTATAGCTACGATGACTCCAGATTATCTTGATCCAAGTATCGATTTACTTTACATTCGACAACGGGACTTAGAAAAACCGCTCTTGAATTCTATTCATCCTGTAGTATGTAGTCAAACCGCTTCCTAACCTCTCGATCTAGCTTCAGACATTCCCTACGACCTTCCTTGCTCACAACGATTACATACCCCACGCACCACAGTTCGCTTGAGTCTGGGCCATGTACCCATTCTCCTTTCTCCTTGACCGTTTGGAAGTGCACGACATGTCGTTTGAGGTCCTGGTTCGCCTCGAGAAAGTCTCGCACAGCGTCCTCCGACCCCATGATGCCTGATCGCGTAGGGGCCAACACCGAGATTCCCAAAATGTATTGTGGTTTTCCATGGAGAAATGGCTGAGATAAAGCCTTCACACGCGCATCCTCCTCCGAACCGAGGCTTAGTAAGAGACGCACAGCGTAGTAGTCGACGCCGTGAGCGAGTAAAGCTGCGACACAGTTGATGTAACCGGGCGGACGCGCATTGACTTCGTGCAAGAAGCAAGACGCAGCTTTCGAAGGGGCAGTTTCTAGGAGTTTCAAGTCAAGAATGTCATCGGTGGGATCAATGGCATAGTACCCTCGCGAATCGCGAACCCTGGCTTCGCAGTGGAATACACCAGACTGGAACCCGAGCCGGGCGATGCTTCCAGCAAGTGAGTTCCGCATCATGACCTTCTCCTCATCTGGCAGCGCTGATGGGACGTCCATGAGCGTCTCCATGAAGTTGGCAGCCTTAGTACCTTCTGTCTCTGGCAGGTCGGCGGAGCAAGGAAAGTCGTCTGTAACATCGCAGAAGAGCACGTCTCCGTTCAGCACGATGAAGTTAGCATCCACCTCGGGCCCGTCAATGTACGGCTCAATCACTACGCTCGTACTCCTTGCTGCCGACGACGCATGTCTCTCTGACGCCCGAAGCACAGCTGCTCGCAACTCGTCCTCGTTACGCACTTTGACGACGCAGTCACTATTCCAGCCAGTACAAGGCTTGACGATCAGAGGATAAGTAAGCTTTCCCCCCCTCTCCGCCAGTACCGTTTCAAGGTCCTGTACTGCATGTAATACAAAGCCGTCTTCCTGTCCAGACGCAGCAGACTCAATCTCCCTTGAGGCACCCTTATTCCCCGCGTTGGCATACGCCGTAGAACTAGAGGTAGGTAGTCCCAAGATCTCGCACGCCCGCGCAACAAGCGGCAGCCTCACATCACTGATGCACACGACACCATGAACGGGGTGTGGATACGCCCGCACGGCTTCCACGACACGTTGAGTGAGGCCCTCGTCGCCCGCAATGCCTATAGGAATGAATGCCTCACGATAGTGCGCATGTGGGCCGCTGTTGTCTTCAAGCCAGTGACCCGGTTCGTCGAGGACGACAAGAGTGATGCCAAGCGCGCGGGCGGCCTTGTAAAACTGCTGGCTAGCTTCGATATTCGCGCGGCCTTGGACCCAGAATACGCGTTTCTGAGTGAGGGGCTGAGGGACAGTCCAAGGGATTGAGAGGCGTTTGGCAAATTCCTCGTCTAGGCGGGCGCGAAGGTTCAGGGTAGTGTCTTCGGGTTTACTGGCCCGGGCAGTGGCACCGCCAACAGCGTTTTGAAGGAGGGAAAGAAAGTCATCCTTTGTCTTGACGTTGATTGCTTGGTCTGGATTCGTCGCTGCCACTGGTGACAATGGGTCGAGGAATCCCACAGCAAGCTGGATATCATCGTAGCCGTGAAGCCTGTACGTGATGAAATCTGGCCTGATCACGGTACCAGAATCACTGGAGAAAACCAGCCTGAGGATGGTGGCATGGCGGGAGTCTTGGTGGATCAGGTTTCGCAGCAAACTGGCAGCGATATTGGTCTCGTCCAAATCGATGACGAAAGAACTATCTCTAGGAAGCTGTTCAGAAACAGCCTCAAGATCCAAGCACCAGTGGCGCTGTCCAGCTCCCGAGGTAGCAGTTCTGACAGTTGTCGCTGTGGCTTGCAGGATGACTAAGACATGTTCATGTTAGTTTGAGGTCTAAGCCAGGGTTAAAGCATTTCATTACCCTGTTTCTCGCTGTTCTTCAGTACGAGGTTCCACTCCAGGCCGGTCATGGTGTCTATCCGAGTCACTTCAGCTGACAGGCGCTGTGAGAAACGTGGGAGTAGGTAATAGAAGGACGTGTAAGACGAGATGGATTGCCCCGCGAGTGATGTTTTTCCTTGCACTTATTCAACCGCCGGTACATCATCACAAGCCGGCGGTTATTCACGCACCCCGCCTTCGGTTACCCATGGGAATCAAGCTTAAGGCTTAAGTTAGGGCTCGGCACGCCCCGATGCTGAAGGATTTATGAATGAGCAAGTTTTACTTTAATACCTTGCACATGCGTCGGATCCACTTGATCACCTCGTGAAGCTAGAGACGTCACATCGTTGAGCAAGTTAATATATATTACGCAAGATTCGCCCCTAAAATACTCCCTGAGCGTTTAAGAGCTGCTTGGCTTCCGACACTGTGCTGCACTGTTTCACTAGAGGGATTTTGAATGCAGATCACAGGTGACATATTCAGCCAATTCAAGTAGACAAACATGATACCATATTGACAGCCATGTAATTCAAAATCGTGATTAGGACATGGCACGCATACATGAAGTCGGCTTTGGGCCAATATCCTTCGCCAAACGTCGTCTTTAGATCTTCTGAGTTGAGACAAATCTGACCAGCATACATTGCAACCATTCCGTTTCTTCTTCTTTGCTGGGCCAAGACTGCAACAAGCTGAGATCTATTCTATTTGTAGAAATGGCGGCTCAAAACAACCTCTTCAGTGGTCCTCATTCGGTAGCTGACTATTTCGACCCCGACAAAAATCCTCCCCTCCCCTTGATCGAAATCCCAGATCGCCTGAACCCCTTCCGAGATGATGGCGTCAGAATCTATGCTAAAATGCTTACTTGCTTGCCGGCGCAGAATGTCAAGTCTCTGCCTGGTAAGTGCAAGTCTCTAGGCCGCTCAGTGGCCATCAACTAACATATACTCCAGCCCTTAAGATGTTGCAGAACAAGCCCGATGCTCACAGCAAGAAGATTGTAGAAGCAAGTTCAGGGTCTACAGTGCTATCTCTTGGTATTATTGCTCGAGTTCTCTGGGGGAATGAAGATGTCGATGCCTATGTGACGAATAAGAAGCCGCTAGAGTCATTGAACATGCTTCGGTTTTTTGGCATCCGACCGTAAGGCGCATTTCCTCAAATCTTCTATGTATTTTCCTCTATATGAATGTTTTGACATTTCTCCCTCCCTTAGGTGCCTATATGGCGGTCTCGCTCAACAGGAACCCACAGATCCTACGGGCATCATGTGCAGACTGCGGAAGAGATCGACACAGGACGAGCAGATGGTATACCCTGGCCAATATGACAATCCCAATGTAAGTTTTACTCAGTATGAAACAGATCTGAATTGCTGACTTGTGATAAGAACTGGAAAGCTCACGAAGAATGGACGGGGCCCCAAATCTACAAGCAGTTACCCCAAATCAACATCTTTTGCTCGACGGTAGGCACTGGAGGTAGGACTTGCGAGCTTGCGTTGCCTCTTTATTCAACTAACCAACGTCACACAGGTGCAATCACGGGTACAGGTGTCTACTTGAAATCCCGCAAGCCGGCAGTACGAGTCGTTGGGTAGGTCAATCTCATTCCTTCGCATCGTCACTCAGCCTCTGATTATTTGACAGCGTTTTCAACAAGTTCGGAGACCCGACTCCCGGGCCCAGGCATTTCTATGGCTTTCATACGTCCGGGTTTCCATGGCAAGGCACAGTTGACAGCCGGGTCGAAGTTTCGTCCGTTGACTCGTACCGCATGTCCATGCGCCTGTCGAGAGAGGGACTTATCGCTGGTCCTTCATCAGGAGAAGCTCTCCACGGCCTCCTTGAACATATCTCAAACCTCAAGAAGTCTGATGATCTGGCTCAGTTTAGAGACAAGACGACTGGAGAGGTCTCGTGCGTTTTCACATGCAGTGATCTACCGTATCAGTACCTCCCTGGCTATTTTCAGAAACTTGAGGCAGACGAGTTTCCCCGGATTGAAAATGAGGTAATTCTAACTCACCAAGAGTTCCAACTCAAACGCTAACACAACCTCACATTTAGATTCTTTTGAAATGTGACCAAACTAGACATGACGAAAGATGGATATTAGACAGCCAAAAAGCTGCAACCGTCTTATTCGGTACCACGCAACTGGAGACAAGCGGAAAGTCAGCAGCGGGCATCAGCAAAGATACGGTAGGTTTGGGCGAGTTGGTTTCGACTCAGAAGCCAAGAACAGTTCGCTCCTGGATATTGCAACTTCTCCAATTATTGTTTTCAAAGAACCCTCGGCTGGGACTAAATTGTTGTCCCGGCCACTCTAAAGACATCTCGCCATCAGTGCTGGTGTTGGATTTCCGCAATGAAGCTGCATTTAAGACGCAGCATCTTCCAGGCTCATACTCGGTGCCTTTGGAGGGCTTAACCTCCACTCTAGCTGATGGAGATCTCTTTGGAGATGCCGAATCTGTTCACATGATTTGGACACATATTCAGAAAAGTATTGACCAACCGAATGTGGCCAAACGGCTGCAGAAGGCGCGGGACAATCATTGTACCGTCATGCTGATTTGTTACAACGGCGATGCAAGCCGGCTTGCGTCTTCAACGCTACGCGCTATGGGCAATGAAGCGTTTAGCGTTCAAGGTGGTTTCGAGGCACTGTGGGCAGAGCTTGAAAGTACGGGCATTGTTTGAGTTATATCCTACCAGGTCTCCTAGAAACGAATTTGAATTACAAGTTGTATTCGAGTACCATGTATGGTTTCCATCACCTTTCATCTGTATTGGTTCATTTCTTCGTGTATCAAAGAGAGGCTGTTATGAGCTACGCCACGGTTGATGTGGCACAAGGACATACTCCTCCTACTTGAATGCAGCCAAGCAACAAGTAGGCAAGTTGTCGACACGTACATTTTGCTCTAAAGCCAAGATTGCGCGTTAGCGCAATTGGCAGGTGTCCTTGCTGCCGATGCAACCCTTAGGCGGGGTCAGACCTATTACAGATCTAGTGTGCAGCATGTGGGGGTACATTGGATTGTCCTTCACAAGGACTTACATGCGTTCACCGCCGCAGAGACACATGTGCGAGCCAAGATAAATGATTGCCAAGGGCTATGCGAGCACGTTATCGTGCTTATGGCTGTGTCTACTGATATTTCTGACGTTCTGATCCACAGGCTGCCCCTGTATTAGTGACTCATTGATTCCAGCCCTGTGTTATCCGCCGGTGAAGAGCATTCTTGGCGAAGAAAGTGGTCAAATCCAGCTCGTTAAGCGGACACATTGAGCAAATATGAGCTCGTTTTACTGATAGTCTACATGGCGAACATTCGGTTAGTCGGATGTGATAGCCTTCGTAATTTCTTGGTGTGACTGTTTGAAGAAATGGGTTGGGTCAATGTTGCGTACTCAAATGCGGCGGTTATTAGTGTTGAGTAGGACCAGTCGGGTTTCCAACCGGACACTCATGAACACTTACTGTTGTCGCCATCGGAAACAATGAGAGCCTGTTCCTTTTTGGTCTTACTGTTGCCAGTCCTGAGAGGCCTCGGTGTCGTCTCCCCAGCCGTGTCTGCCTCCGTACTGCAATCGAGAGCAACAACGTCCAGCCAGCGCCATGGACTGAAATGGCTCGGATCAGGCCAGTCATTACCAAAAATTCTGTAGATCGTCTAAACCTTGATATTCGGTACCGCATTTAAGCTAACACGGGAAGGGTTGTTTTCACTGGCGGAACTCTCGCCGAGGGCTCTGGTTACGGCCCCCTTGACGACACTCAATATGGCCAATACAACTTGACTGCGGAGGAAATTATAGCACGAAATCCGTACCTGTTCAATGTATCCCAACTGGCAATCTCCAACTGGACATCTGGTAGAACTGGCCCCTCACCCAGTCGTTCTGACGCTTTCGTCATGAACATGACGCGCTTCCTCGATGACGCCCTCTGTTCTGACGACAGCGATATCGACGGTGCTGTCTTCACTCATGGAACCAACTCTCTAGAAGAGACTGCAATATTATTCGACCTTCTCATCCCTTGTGACAAGCCTATTGTCGCCGCGGGTGCCTCGCGACCCGTCTCGGCCCTCTCTGCCGATGGTGATGCCAATTTCTTCCAAAGTGTCTCCCTGGCAGCCAGCCCAGCCAGCCGGGGCCGCGGTGTGCTTATCGCCTTTTCGAACCACATCCTGCAAGCTTTCTGGACGACCAAGATGGTACCCACATTTCCAGATGGTTTCGGACAGACAGCTGGCGGCAGCCTTGGCGAATTCCTGAACAACATGCCTTATTTCTTCAATACGCCTAGTTTACCGACGGACAAACACAAGTTTGACTTGGTGACAGTTAACAATCACGAAAGTTATCCATCGCTGCCTAAGGTAGACATTCTTTTCGCCCATCGTGAGTTTGATGGCGGCCTCGTCACGGATGCTGTCAAGAGAGGCGCCAAAGGCCTGGTTATTGCGGGAACCGGCAGCGGAGCGGTTCCCACCGGAAAAGAAGAGGTTGCTGAAGCTTTTGGTATGTGCTCAGTCTATAAGTAATAACCATAGTTGCTGACAGCTCCGTTAAAGAGAACGGAACGTACATTGTGGTCTCGACTAGGTCCCCCTATGGTGCCAGTGTGCCGTCTCTATCACCAACATACGCCAAGTCTGGGTACGTTCATCCGCTACAGGCGAGAGTTATGCTACAGCTTGGCATAGCCAGTGGTTTCAGCCAAAAAGAGGTTGCAAACTTATTTGAAGGGACAATTAGAGATGCCACTCTTCCATCCTTCATCTACGGTATTTAAGCCTACGTAGTGAAAACGCAGTCTTTTCTGAAGAAGACCTTTACCTTAAATATAGTCAACTACCTTATGTAGCTATTCTGAATAAAATCGGTGGTTAATCAGTAACATACTATGTGAAATCCGAATGGCGTGATGTTAATCTGCATGTTGTATCTCTGATTTCAGCAAAATATGGTTCAAGATATGAGGACTTTCAGAAAGGAGCCGACAACCCTAGTGTTTCAACGTTGAACACTGAGGTTCGTTAGATCCTTAAATAAGAGCATGTGAGGTTTGAAGTAGCAGTAACATGACATATACACGAAGGTTGGAGAATTAGGTTTGACAAGTCTAATGGGCTATGTTTTGAAATAGCACCTGAATTAGTAAGCTTGAAGCCAACTATGCAATGTGAGACTTTTAGACTAGCCAATGGTATTACTAAACATCTTTCTCCAGAACGACGTTCGGGACATTACTCTTCAATGCTTTCCAAGGAGCAATCGTACGATGGACTTCCCAAGTTGCTCAAAAATTATACTATCCATCTTAATAGCAGAACCGGTGCAGAGCCTCTCATTGTCCCTAATACGTACGTTGTTATATTCTGAAAGGAAGCCTGGAACGAAGTAGTTGTTCAACGAAGAAAGAACAGTTGTATTGTCTTTCAATTCTATCAGAAAAGTGATATTGAGTCTGATTCATATGATGACATAGCTAGTAGGCAACCCGACGTTGGATATGGAGTTGAGCTGTACCAAAAATCTCACCAAAATTAATGAGCTATGGATACGGAGGCTAGCCCTGAGGATGGTGGCAAGGTGGGAAATTTGGTTGACCAGGTTCCATAAGAACTGACAGTGAGGAGTGTGTTACGAGGTTAGCAGAAAGGGAAATGTGGCTATTTGGCTTATTCCAAGGGTTTGGAAAGTCCCGAAACAATTGCCAAATTGACGGGATACCGCGAGTCTTATCTCATCAGCTCAGAAGCCTGACTATGCGGCGTGATACACGGCAATGGGGGCTGGTGAGCGGCGGTCACCATGAAATACCTTTTTCCCAACGACAATGACATGGGAAATTCTCTTGTCTTGCTTTCGAAATACGGTAATTAAATAGCCTATCTGCTTTACCGTATTTTAGCCAACTCCAATCATCATGATTATGATATTGTTGCCTCGCCTATAGTTAGCAGCACAGCATGAATCTTCTTAAGCCCCGTAAAGGAATTAGGCTACAGAAGATAGGGAGTGATTACTATGAACACATGAACTTATATGCAAAGAGTCTAGTCACATGATAGTGGCATTAGAACCTCCCTAATCAATCAGCAGCAACACTCTCAGAGGCCCAGAAATATCACAAAGAGCGCAGGTTAACTGAACATAAAAATTACTCCCTTCTGTTCGTTTACTTCCACTTGTTACCTTTCTTGATGATTAAAACTTGAAGTCAATAAGTCATGTACCATAATCCTATGCTTCATAGCTTTGGGAAGATCCAAGCGAGATCTGTAATATGTGACTAATATTGAAGACGAAGAGGTTAGTTATTGGTATTAGCATACCACTTAATTCCGTAAAGCGCTTGACAATCTATTTAAACAAGACTATCAAATTCCCACTCCCTGACCTGATAGTAACATTAACGTCGCACACCCACTTCTCGCACACCCCCACATTTCGCACACCCATAAATTGGGTCATCATGAGGTATTCATCAACTTCATAACTATAAGTCTGATTCGTCTCCTGCAACTGTGATACTATCGCCAGTTTTAATAGGTAATTCAGGCTCGCTAGATTCATCTGAGCTATCCTCAATTTCGCCAGCCTCAATTTGGGCTTTGTGAATTGCCTCAATGTTGGCAAACTTCGAATTTGGGCTCATTTGGACCTTACGCCGCTTCCGTACCATTCCAGCCTCAACTTCTGCTTCCAACATTGCAATCTTCTTCTCTGCTGTAGCCAATTGATAGTCCTTTTCATCAAATCCCTTTTGAACCTTCCGAAACAACAGTCGCTGCGTTTGCTGATCTTTATCCAACTTGCTGAATAAGCTAAGTTGATCATATAGATCAACTGTCTTCTTGGGCGTTGACCAGGCTACTATGGATGTAGCAGATGCCCAGTTTTCGTCTTTTCCACCATCAGAGGCCCTCATAGGCGTAGAATAGCCTGGCTTTGAGGGCTTGGAAGCATTCTCAAGCAGTAGAGGGCTCATGAGCGGTCGAGCTATCGAAATGGGCCATAGTCCTGTTGCTTTCCAGCCGCTTCTGATATTCTTGCTTGAAAATGCCATCTGGCGTGCTTTTCCATAGCAGGTAAGAAAGTTCCGTTTGCCTACAACTGTAGAATCGTTGTGTTGAATGAGGTATCCAAGCTCTTTTCGATAGGTCGCCTTGAGAGGCCCAAAGACTGCTTGGTCTAGAGGTTGGAGAACGTGGGATGTATGTGGCGGTAGGAAAAGGAGATATATCTTGTGTTTATAACAGAGATACATAAATTCTGTTGTTTCATGACTGCCATGACCGTCTAGGATCAATAGTCTCTGCTCAGAGGGATGATCAGGCTTAGTCAGAGGGATAAAGATGTTCTCAAGCCATTCCACAGCTGTAGAGTCTGAAGTCCAGCCATTCTCAGTTGCTGTGAACTTCCAACCACTGTAAATATCACGTTTATGGATATCAAGAGGAAACCATTGTTGTTGAACCGATTTCCCTCGATAAATAACAAGTGGAGGAAGCGCCTGACCAGTTGCAGAGACACACTCAAGCATAGTTGTCCAAGCCCGAGACCCAGGCTGTTTTTTTCGCATTGATGAGCTTTCTGATGATCCCAGTACTAAGCCATTTGATCCTCTGCCTTCTAGGATACCAGTTTCATCCATGTTATAGCGATGATGTGGTTTGATCGCCTTGATCTCTGGAAGGGCGAGTTGTTGAAACCATTGCCTGATTACATTAGTTGAGGCCCCATTGACACGCTTAGAATCGATGGCTCTAGCTCTATGAACCTTGATTGATGGATTTCTCTTAATAAAGAACTGAATCCAGTTTCTCCCAAGTGGCTGGGTAGTGCCTCTGATGTCTAGGATTCGCTGGGCAAATTCCTTGAGTTGTTGATGTGTTGGCGGCAGCCCTAACGCCGCCTGGATACGCACCCATTCAGCTAAGTGACTTTCCTGTGCTGGAGATAGCTTCTGGAAGCTAGAGAAAGCTACATTTCTTGCCTGTGAACCCTTTAATCGAGACTGGAGGGTTGATGGTGGAATTCCAGCATCATGAGCTGCCTTTCGGACACTCTGCCCACTTGCAACTGCATTGAGAGCTTGATTGACTTCTGTTTCCGTATACTGGCCCATTAAGCGTATAAGAGTAACTATTCAAAGAATTATAATAATCGCTGTAAAAGTGGTGAAGATATTAAAGAATGTTGAAGAGGGTAAAATTCTACATGAGCGATTTATGGGTGTGCGAAATGTGGGGGTGTGCGAGAAGTGGGTGTGCGACGTTAACTGTCATAGACTTTGGAAGCTACAAAACTGTAGCCTACTATTGTAGGTAAGCATATTTCGGAAGTGAAATGTCTCTTTGTACATAAACATGCGCGCATCGTAGAGGATATTTCGACCTGGAAACACTTGCAGACCTTCTCCGGTCTTCTTATACCTGAGGCCATGCCATAAGCTGATGGCTAGCTGTACTAATTTGAAAGCTCAAGAATAGTTGGAGCTGTGCCGGCGTACAATTCACTTGGAAATACCAGTCTGAACGGGAATCTTACGCCTCAAAAGCAAACGCTACTCAAATACAGCTGCATGTAGAAACCCAAGTCTTCCTCTTCCAAAGGGCTGTCCAAGTTTCAAGTGCTTGTTTTGACTTGGTCAAGCAAGCACCAGGCTCACCACGATTTGCATGAAGGAATCCCTCCTATTCTCAGTAACCACACTTGGCCTGGTTGACAATGTATTTTCAACCTGACCAGCCCTAGCGAAGCCCAGCGTTGACGCCATCAACTCAACGTACGAGCCTTCTCCTATACGTTTTCATATCCGATCTCATCTGGTTGCCTTCCCACGTAACCTGAATTTCACTGGTTTTTTGGGGCACAGGATGGCAACGGCCATCTGATTCGTGTTGCAGCAGCAAATAATTCCATAAGGACCAGTACTCAAGAATACATGTTTCTTCGAGAACAGCTAGTATCCAATTTATAGGGAAGCTTAATGCCACAGCGACCACCACCGCTGCCAACATCTTTACATCGCTCCACAACTCGCCCTACCTGGGGCCTGGGTGCCGTGGTTGATGTCTCAATACTTGCCATCCTGAACGCCAAAATCGACTTCACTAGAAGAGAGAACTATGTGGTCTCTGTAAATCATGCTTAGGCAGTTCATGTGACATCCTATGTAGTTCTTTCTCCAAAGATAGGACTGAGCTCGTGCTCGCGTAACCCGACAATTTGGAGAGATACGGCCTTCCCAGATCTAGTATTTAAGCAGGCATTTGTAAGTGGCCTGAGCCCTCTTTATTCTGACTTCTGTTCAAGAGTAATGCTATTTATGAAGTGAATAGCCGCTGATGGGATGCTATAAGTCACAGGAAGCACCTGCAGAATATCTTCCAAGTCGTCCCCAAGAGGCAGATTTACAAGCTCATGTAGACAGTTGGAAAGCAATGTCAGTGAAACCATGCAGTTCAACATCACATGAAATATGTTGTACCCAGAGGCTACTAGATTATGCCGCTTGGGTTGGTAGTTGGGAACTAGATAATACCGTTAAGTCGAATTGCCTAGTTGGAGCCGTTCGCAAGGATTGGGCGATCACCGTTGGTACCCAGGTTAGCGCGGCCCAGACCCCATTACCATTGATAACAAGCTGTTCAACAGCCAAACTAACGGCTCCAGAGGCTGCGGATCATTGCACGAGGATCTGTGTTGAAACGGAAGTGAGACGTTGAATAGGAGCGACAATTTCGACTTTTTTAATGGTTACAATCCTCAGGCTACGAGCAGCTCATCCCAAAAAACCAATGAGCACAGTCTGGCGGCTATCTAAGCAGTCACTGACCAAGCGTGATAGCAAGGTGGTCAGATCTTTCGGTTCTTATGTATGCTGCTATTTTTCAGGCTAAACATCTGGCTCAGCTTACAGTTGGCTACCTGTTACTTCAGATAGTCTGCTATTTAGGAGATACAACTGCAGAAAGCGGACGCCTTCTTGATCTGCTAAAGGATGTATTCAAAACCGAAAATTTTAGAGGATCTGAGAAACCTGCAGGGGAACAACGACCCGGCATGGCATCGGTGGGCCCTATGTTACCGGAGCCGAGAATGTTGTCAAAATTATATCTTAAACCAGGTGGAAAGGGCGTAGGAAAGCCACTGCTGTGTCTTCCAGAGGATAGGGTTAGGTATAGGTAGGTATAGGTAGGTATAGGTAGGTATAGGTAGACAGAGATAGATAGAGTAGAGGGTTAGGGTTGGCTGCCATGAAGTTGTCAGCCTCAAAAAGATTGTTGACACAGACCTGGCTGACTACATTTACAAATGTTGGAGTTATTAAGAGCGTCGCCGCTGCAACAGCCTACCAAGACCAATGCAGCTTGTCAAGATGTCGCAGGACAGCTGACAGAATAATCAATATAGCGAGGTTTACAACTTGCGTTAATGTTGAAAATGAGTCAACAACACTTTTGCGCCCCCTTTTGTTGTTGAGATTTGCGGAATGAACTTGACAAGATCACCAAGGGCTGTCTCAGACTTCCCGTAATACTGGAATCGGCACGCCTCATGGTTTATACAGGCACCGGCCCCACCCGGGCCCGGACAGATGTGGACCGAACGGCAAAGAAGCGGAGTTCCTTCCGACGAAATGGCGGTGGTTGTGATTAGATAAGCTGGGTTTAATTACGCAAAAGCCCTGTCTCGGGCCAAGGATTCCCTGGCGTCTCCTTCAAAACATATCCGTAGAGCTGATGTAATCCGGCATTAGAGAAGATACGTACCGATGCCGAGGGTCCCTGCCCATGAGCCAAAGTAGCTTGTCCGTAGCGTACCGGCTGCCCTGTGGCTTGTGGTATTTTTATGTCCAGCGACGGTCTGTGTGTGAAGGGGGGTAATTCAAAATCGGGCGGAGTAAGGCCACGAGAGTTATCGTCGGTTTTTTTTTGTATTCCCTTCTTCCACCTCCTCGGTATCACGCAGAGTCAAGAGCAGCAAACAGCCCCAGCTTATTGTTGACACTGGAAATTGCCGTAACCTGAGATGATAAGTGAATGCGCGAGATCCAGCTGTGATTGCCTGTTGACACGCAGATTATCAGGTGACGACAAGAAAAGCAGAACGAACGGGGCCGACATCTGGGCTGGTCCCTCCCTGTCCTGCCTGCGTTCCTGCCCACCAGCCTGGGAGCTCCCACCAAAAAGAGGTGGGAGACGCAGGTACGTACCGAGGAATCGGGCATGAGCTACCCAGTCAATGTCCAAGATTGGACCAATGAAAATTTGGAGATTCAACAAGCTTGGACCGATACGTACCGCCGAAGGCACTGACGCACCGTCCATCGTCCTTTCTTTGCTTTCTTTCCCTTTTTGCGGGGGTAAAATTTGTGACGCAGCCCCAATTTTTTGTCATCATCGGATTTTCCTCGCGGAAGGAGCCCCAACTTTTCTTTTTCTTTTTTTCTTTGCCCTTCAGGTCTTGCTGAAATAGCAGCAGCGGCAGCAGTGGCAGCAGTGTGAAAAGGAGGAACAAAGAAGGTGCAACTGCCATGTGTTGAGTGTCATATCTCTAAGGGGATAAAAAGTACCAGGCAGCAGGAACTATCGCAGCAGCAGCAATAACAACAACTAAAACAGAAGAAAGAGCAAACAGCAGCAACCAACTGCCTCTGACATAATTAATAATTACTGTACCTGCCCAACTTTCCTACCTACCTTCTACCTTCTACTACAACTTTTACTTCCCCCCCTCTGTCCCTTCCTTCCCGTCACATCCACGTCTCCATCTCCATCTCCAGCTCCAGCTCCATCTTTTTTTTTTTTTTTCTTTCCTTCACCGCGTTCGGGTCCCTCTCCACCTCTCTCCCACCACCCCTGCGCTTCCCCCTCTCTCCTCTAAACCTGTTCTCGATTCTCTGTTACTCCTCCCTTTACGCCGTCCGCCCCCGGCTTCTTCTTTTTTCAATCCGTTCTTCTTCCTCAGCTGTCCATACTGCATCTTCTGGTGTCATCGTTGGCGCGCATTGGCATCCGCGGATCCTCTTCTATCATGCGCACCCCCTGCCCGCGAGAGGCTCTCATCCTGCACGAAAAGAGTCACTAGGCTGCTTAGGCTGGTTGCCCCGACTGAGGCCCGGACCTGCAACCTGCGCCCTGCGACTCACACACATACTAGTAGTAGCTCATCCAGAGCAGTCGACACCGTTCTTCTAGAAATATCCACTATTCATCCAAGTGTCCACCAGCAGGACTTGGAGGACGACTGCTACTATCGCCGATAGACCCTCGTGGACCGACCGCTGCGACCCCCCCCCCCCCCGGCTCCCACTCCTGGTCCAGTCCTAGTCGCCCAGCCCAAAAAATAAGGACCCAGTTTACGTCCTGCCTGTCCAGTTTCTCTGAGAGCGACGTGGGCTCAACGCCGCCTCAACACCACCACCTCACACCCACCCTCCGCCTTCTCGTCAACCATGGCTGCCAACGGCAATCCGAAGGCGAGGAACAGTGCCGGTGTCGCCAACGGAAGGCCCGCATCTGCTCGGCGTGTGGTCCCTGCTATTCCCTTGACTTACGAGCGTCGCCTAAAGGCCAATGCTGCCGCGAAGCACGCCGCAGCCCAAGCCCAATCCGTCCCTGTTGCGTCCCTTCCTCGGCCCGCCGCCACCACCAACGGCTCTTCCTTGAAAATTCAGAACGATGTCGACGCCGCGACCTTGACCCCAAAGTCCATCGAGCCCGAATCCATTGCCCGCGACGAGAAGCCCGCCGCCGTCGAAGAACCCGCCGTTGTTGCCCCTGCCGATGACTCCAACAACGATGATGTAAAGGATCGCGAGGGTACGTGCCAAACATCCCCCCAAGCCACACGTGCGCTGCAAAAGCCTTGGACGCCTGCTCACTATGGTCTAGATCTTCTTTCACAACAGTCCTCTACTACTATCCCTGCTTCTTCCGACGCCGAACTATCCAAGTCCACCGACAAGACCGAGCAAGACGCGCCCTCGTCTATCAAGGAATCCGCGCCAGGTAGGTTACCCGCTGGCCGCCACCATATATACCAGGAGTTGTCGTCCTCACACTTTGCAGAGAACCGTCGTGTAACTTCTCCGCCCTCTGCTCGAGCCGCTCAAATGGGTATGAAGTCCTTGACGTTGTAACATCACCCCGCTGCAAGAAGAGTTTGCTCACTATCTCGCAGAAAACTCCCAGCTGCCCCCGACTTTCCGACCCCCTCCCGTCATACCTCCCAGCCGATACAACATGCCTCCCGGCGCCCATAATGGCCCTCGCCCCTCGCCTGTCGTAATCAACGGCACATCTCACAGAGGTCCTCGATCAGTCCACAATGGCCCCCCTCATATGCATGGCCCGCGTCCAAGCAACGGCAGTCTCGTTCAGTTTGGTGGTTTCGGGTCCAACTCGTCGTCTCCCGCCCCTCCTCATTCTGGTGGCTTCATGCCTCCCAACGGTGCACCTATGCCTGACGGACGCCAAATCTATAACCATGCCGCCGCTGCTACGAACGGCTACCATCATCAGATGCCTTATGGAACCGAATTCGTTCCCGGAACTGGTGTAGATCAGTTTGGCAGACCTATCCCGGGCCCTGCTGGCATGGAGCAGTACCATCCTTATGTCAACGGCTATGGGCCTTCCACTCCTCACAGCTTCCAGGGATCACACTCTTCGGCACAGGCGGAGGATGCCGGTGCTTACAACCCATACCCCGCGCCTGGTATCCCTAACGGTGCGGCACATGTCGATGACGCCCGCTCCCACCCTCCCCCTGCTGGAGCTTTCGGTGTGCCTCCCCAGCGAATGATGCCTGGGCCTATTCCGCCCCCGCACATGATGCACCACGGCCATGAAGCCCAGGGATTGGACGGTCTTGCCGCCTACCTGCGGTCACAGTTCCGCGATACCGCGCTCGCCGACTGTACCCTCGAGCTCCGATACCTGGACGACCGAGCCCCTCCCGTCCGCATTCCTGGTCACCGTCTTGTGCTTGCGAGAAGCCAAGTTGTTAAGAACATTCTTGAAACCGAGAGCTTCGAGACAAGCCCGCCGGGGACGAACCGCACCATACTGCTCCAGTCGGAAGACAAGTACCTCCGGTCTGATGCATTTTGGATGGCTGTCCAGCATCTCTATGCCTTCCCGCTTTTGGAGCTACCAGAACCCAGTACCAATGGCGGCCTGACGTTGGCCGGCAGCGCTGATGACCGCTTCGACTTTGCGTTGGGATATGCTGCGGCTGGCCACGCTTTGGGATGGCACCCTATAGTAGTTCGCGGCTTGGAGATCGCTTCGCACTCTCTCAGTTGGGCGACCATTGAGCGAGCCATTGAATTTGCCCTTGCCGACGTACCCGGCCGCGCATCTGCTGATCGACACACCCAGTTCGCATACGGCGACCCTGTCCAGATCTTGATGAATGGAATTATCAACTTCCTCGTCAACAACTTCCCACCCGACTTCACCCTTGACACATCCGTTTCCGACCCCGAGCGCTTTGCCCGCATTCCGTTTGTCCCCGCGTCCCCGCCAGCTCGTGAGGGTACCCCAACTATTGCCCGTGGAACTTCTGCCAAGGACCGTCGATCGCGCCCTATGCACATTCAATTCGGTGACCTGGCTGTGAACCAAGACGCTGGATCCAAGGGCTCTGAGCCCGCGCCTCCCTCACCGCAGCAGCGAAACATTCAGTCTGTTCTGTCGACGATACTCATCAATCTTCCATTCGCTTTCCTCAAGCCCACACTTGAGTCGAGCGGCTACGGCAACGTCAACGGCTGGGCAAACGTCGAGGCGCGCCATCACATCATGAGGGCTGTGGTGAATGAGCGCGAGACACGAAGGGGCAGAGCTCTTGAAGCTGTCAAGGCTGGCGCTGTGCCGCATGCCGAGTCGATTCTTTACGGACTCCAGAGTGTAGAGCCCCGTCAGGGCGAGGAGTGGAACGGTCTCGGCTGGCGTGAGGAGGTGGTGTCGTACGTCAATGGCGACGCGCCGTCACTCGGCCGGCAGTGGGTCCCGCTCATGGTCCAGAACGGCTCCGGCCATATGGAGCAATTGAGCCGCCCGGCGTATCCTTGAAGTGGCTAGCCGGGATAACGATGTTACGACACGGGAACTAAAAAGAATCAACGACTTAGGTCGGTCTGCATTCGGCTTACGCATCATGACCAAAAAAGGGCAGCAATTCCTTTTCACAAAGGTTGGGGCGATGGTTTGGGCATTGCATACGGTGTTTGCAGTTTGGCAGATGGATGGGCCAAACGCACAAAAGCTTGGGAGTGAGTGGGCATTCCGCTCTACGATTTTGGGCTGGCATGGGCATTTGCCCTGGTCTTCTTTGTTTGTGCGCGCGCGTGTGTGCTTTTTGACAGTTATGTCAGTACTTCACTTGACGCCGGTCGATATCTGCGGGAAGACAGGCAGCATGGAAAAGATCTTCTACGAACAGACATGTCGACGCGAGGCCTGGGACAGAAACTCCTGGATCGAGGTGAAGACCTAAAAAATTGGTGGGGCGGTCGTAGATTTAGGATGACGGGGGGAAGACATGACTGCATAAGCGGACTTGAAAAAAAGGTGCAGAAACGGTCAGGCGGCAGGTTGTGGGGACGAGGAACGACGTATACCCGGTGTCGTGAGGATTGAGAAGACAGAATATGGCCCAGAGCTGTGAGCAAGGGATGGTATGACGTTGTCACGGACAGAGACCGTCTAGGAGGACAGCTCAGGCTCTCATGAGAAGCCGATGAGCTATTGGGGAGTAGCACCAGATGATTGTGAGAATCAAAAGCCTGAGTGGATTGTGATTACGGCCGAGGCTCGCTTACTAGTTAGTAATAGTACGTACTGAGCGCAATCACGGAATGATGACCTGCATTATGATATAGGCCGGATGACAATTGCGAAGAGTTGTGATTTGTGTCTGATGGTGATGGAGCGGGAGACGCGTTCCAAAGAGGTAACAATATCCGACTGACGAGAGAACAGTAGAGACGACGCGCGCGGGTCAAATCAACAACAATAACAATGAAAATCAGAGGGAGAGCGGAGGACACGAGGTTTTGAATGATTGTATTTTTTTTTTCTTCTTCTTCTTGGCAGGTTGTGACCTAGTACTACGGTATAATGATAATGGACGCGCGACGCATGAAAAACTCATTAAACCTACCATGTAGTAGTAGGCTTCTCTTGGTGCAAATCCGCATCTGCGAGTGATGAGTGTGGGGAAGTCCCCTGTTGCGGGGGACCCGATTGAGGTTGCAGAGGCAATAGTGCCACTACGTGGTTGTGCAGTAGGGGGACCTATCAGCAGCTACCGTCTCCTTTGGTGGTTGAAATTGGGAGGGTTTCCCCCCCTTTTAAAGACAGGGATGAGGCTTACCATAGTACCTTGGAAGCCGAGGCATATGCTTTTTGTGCTTCCCACCTGTTCTTGGTGTTATTCTTCCCGCGCCATTATGGATGTTGGCATATGCTAGCAAATGTTTCTTTACCCCGGTGAACTGGGTTGATTTGACCTAATTAACGACCGGCCCCAGTGGCTAACTGTGACATCCCCCCAAAGACAGTGGTTGGAACGTTTCCAGCTTCTGGTTCGTTCATCCACCCACGCGACTGTCATCCTTTTTGGGCGGGTTTATCCTTTTTTGTTACTTACTTTTGGTTTCTTTTTTGCTTTACCTAGTCAATTTTTTTTTTCAACAGTCAGAAGAAAAAGAACAAAACCTTTTACTTTCTTCGGTCGATTCTCGTCAGCAACACCAACCCATCTTGTTAACCTGTCGACTACCAACGCGTCAAACGCATCAAAACGCATCAGAGACGTGGTATGTTTAGTTTGTCCCTTAGCTCAGTTGTTGAGGTCATCACGCACCCCCCTTCTGGAACCCCGGCTTAGGTCCGGATTTAGCACGTGCTAACGGAGCTCCCTCACTTCGGTCCAGAATACCCTACTTCTCCAACCTCCACCTCCTCCAACCAACCCGATCCGACCGAGGCAAACGACGACAGAGGCGACGGACGACATCATCGAACTCTAGTCTTTTTTCGATAACCTTTATTCAAGCCTACCTCTTTCGTAATCGTCACCTGATCCAATGGCCTCCGCCGCGACCTCGTCGTCGCGGCCAGGCCCAGGCGGAGCCTCGGTTCCATCCTCGAGCCCTCGTCCGGCCGGTACTGGCCCTTCACGACCGCCGCCTTCGTCGCGCAACAGCGTCACCGATCCCGTCCTGCGAAATACCCTCCGATATACAATCTCCGCAAAGGAGTATGCCACCCTCCACAAGTACGTGCTGTCGCGTTCGCGCCTCCTCAAGAGGGCTGCGCCAAGCGTCAGCGCCGTCGAGCGCATTGTCGAGGGCGATAAGGCGAAGCAGAATGCCGGACCTGGCGCCGGAGGACGGGCAGTGGATGATTATAATGCGCGCGCCGTCCGGCACTCGTTGCGCGTGTTTATCGGAACGGCCATGACAATGAAGGGATGGGCTTTGATCTCCACCAAGCTGCTGGGTGGAAAGCAAGAGTAGGCGTCTTCTCCCTCCATCTTTTTGGGTCGTTAACCCCCCTTGGTAGACGGATGCTGACTGAATAATAGCCCGAACGTGGCCGGCCAGAAGCAGCCCCTTCACAAGTCGCCGACACTCCGTCTCTCCCTCTCCCTGTCGACCATCCTCCTCCTCTACCGTATCCTCTTCCGCTTCCTAGCCCGCCTCCGCGCGCACCTCCTCGACCCCTCGGCCGCGCCCTTCCGCCAACGAAACCCGCGTACGACGGCAACCTTGACGTCTCCCTACGCCCCGGCCATCGGCGCCTCGCTGGCCGGTATGTTCCTCGGCGTCTACCCGTCCCAGCAGCTGCGCGTCACCATCGCCGTCTACACCCTCTTCAGGGCGCTCGAGTTCGGCTGGAACCTATGCGAGGAGGAGGGCATGATCTGGGGCTTCAAGAGCGGTGGCAAGGTTAAGCGGGAGCGGCCGTGGTGGTGGGGTAGCTGGCTCATTCAGCCGTTCGCCTTCGGACAGCTGCTGCACGCCGTCGTGTTCGACCGCGACTGCTTCCCCGAGGCCTACGGCAACTTCATCTTCAAAAACTCGTCCGCCTACATCCACCCCCGGCCAAAGGACTACCCTGCTCATCTCAAGTGGCCCAAGACCTTTGAGATCGTGGACAACCTGGCTGAGATGGCCAAGCTCAACTGGCCGTAAGCATATCCCTTTTTTTTTGCTTTACATTATTACAGATGTGTCCTAACAAACACCCGCAGACCCTACATTTCGCCAACACTCTTCCCCAACAAGGAGACGCTCCCAGCGTCCCTCTCCGGAGTCGCTCCGCTCACCTCGACGGCTCACCCCATCATCAGTTCCCTCTCCTGCGCAACCCTCCACCCGTCCGACCCGTCATGCCTGCGCACCTACCTCAACTTCTGGCTCGGCTCGTTCCCCGGCCTAACGCGATTCTTTCTCGTCATCTACTCGGCCCTGACTTTCCTCCCACGCTTCCGCTCGTTCTACAACTCTCCCGTCACCACCCTCCAGCGGGTCCTCGCCAAGTCGCTGCGCATGAGCACCTTCATCACGGGCTCTATCTCCACCGCCTGGGCGAGCATCTGCTTCTTCCAGCAGTGGTTCCCGCGCACCTTCCTACCGACGCAGAGGTTCTTCTTTGGAGGGTTCCTCGCGGGTCTCTGGGCCTGGGTGGAGCGGAAACAGGGCCGCGGCGTGTTTTTGTACTCGGCGCGCGTGAGCGTCGATTCGCTGTGGAAGGTGGGCGTCAAGAGGCGCTGGTGGAGGGCGATGAAGGGCGGCGACGTGTGGGTTTTTGTCATGGCGCTGATGATTACGGGTGTCGTGTACGAGAGGGATGCGAGGGCTGTGAAGGAGGGTGGTTGGAGGAAGGGCATCAGTTGGGTTCGGGGAGAGGGGTGGAAGGATTGGAGTATCGAGGAGGAGGCGGAGGAGAATGAAAAGATGGAGTAGATTTGTGTTCTTGGTCTACTTTGGCGATGATGGTGGTGATGGTGGTGGTGTAAGATTCTTATTGTTTTTTTTTTTCTCTTTTCTCTTCATGGCGGGTGTTGTGGGTTTTCGTACCTGTTGTAAGAGGCTTGATGATGAATTATGCTTGATAGATGTTTAATGTTCATAATTAGTGCTATTCTACCTTTTTTTCACCTACGAGTTCTTTTGACAACTTGAGTGTTCTGTCTGAGGCTAAGGTATATTATCGAGGACCAGTTGGCTGCAGATATATCCTCGTGAGGAGCACTAGCTACTCAGAGGCTAGACAAGAGTTTTGTAGCCAACTAAATAATCTGATTTGAAAGGTATGTATTGTTTTTTTGAAACAGGTATTTGCATTTTTAGAGTAATAGAAGTATAGCCTGGGAAATCTAGGTGACGAGATGTGGTTATATATCCCTGATATGAGGGGCAAAGACTGAGTGTGAATTGGGGACTAGACCCCTAGTAGAAATGCCTTCCGTTAGGAAGGTTAACTTCTCCATCCGCGAAGGCGTAAAAAACTATCCTGTGCCTTCCGTTAGGAAGGTTAACTTCTCCATCCGCGAAGGCGTAAAAAACTATCCTGTGCCTTGATCCCCCCTGGTCTCCTGTTCTGTGCCTTCCGTTAGGAAGGTTAACTTCTCCATCCGCGAAGGCGTAAAAAACTATCCTGTGCCTTGATCCCCCCTGGTCTCCTGTTCTGTGCCTTCCGTTAGGAAGGTTAACTTCTCCATCCGCGAAGGCGTAAAAAACTATCCTGTGCCTTCCGTTAGGAAGGTTAACTTCTCCATCCGCGAAGGCGTAAAAAACTATCTTGTGCCTTCCGTTAGGAAGGTTAACTTCTCCATCCGCGAAGGCGTAAAAAACTATCCTGTGCCTTCCGTTAGGAAGGTTAACTTCTCCATCCGCGAAGGCGTAAAAAACTATCCTGTGCCTTGATCCCCCCTGGTCTCCTGTTCTGTGATTGGCTAGAGCAAAAATCGATGCTGATTGGTCGTAGCGACCCTGCCACCAATCAGCGCTCGTTATTCTTCGTTCGACCAATCAGCTTCGTTTAACCCCTGTTCCGGCCAATCACCTCTCATGTTCGCCGTCCTCGGGTCTTCCCGTCGTTTACCCAATGTCTTGCCGGTCTTCTTCCATTTATTTCCCGCCAACCACTCTCATTTTCCCGTCTTTTCAACCCCTGGCCTAGCCCGGCCCAACCTCGCCCATCGAACTTTCCATCCTAATACCACCCTATCGTTACCTTCCGTGATTTCCTATCTATCTGATTAATATCTATTGCTTGTCCTTCCTATTGCTGGTTTCATAATATCGTATTTCTCCTCTATGTCTATGCCCCATAACCCCCCTGTGCTTTGTGATAGCAAGTCCCCTCTGGTTGTTCATCTTCATATCTACGTCACTAATGCTTTCTCTAGCTGGCGGTGACCTGCTGGATCGACTTGGTGTGAGCACCTCTATGCGCACCAGCCGAACAATAGAAGTTTTATCTTGCTCTCCAATAGCCCGGGAGCTTGCTCCCCGGAAACAGGGCAAGACGCTGTCGTTCGATCATGGTTATCGCATCATTACTGCCCTGGTTCAGGCTACCGGCGTTGAGCGCCGACCTCCATGCGACCGATGTGCCTGTTCAAATGGTCCGTGGAAGCAATGTATTGTAATGCAGTCCGCTGAGGGTTTACGGGCTACGAATGGTGGGTGTGCTAACTGTTAGTGGAATAATACTGGTTCCCGTTGTAGTCACCGTATGTAAGGTTTTTTGTCCTCTTTCGTCCTGCTCTTTTATTAACTATTTTAGATGCTTCTTTCGCTAGACGTTCGGGTGTATCCTTGGGCTTGATCGGACAGCCACCAGGTACTCTCTCTGACTCTTTCTCTGCCTTGGATCGATGGGAGATAGAACTGGAGACTCTCGGTAACCCTGGTATTACCTCGCGTGCATCCACACTGGCCAGAATGGATGCTTCTGAGCTGGTTACTCATTACAAAGACCTTACATCCCGGTTAGAAGCAATCCACGCCTCGATAGCTCACTTGACGAACGAGTGCCAGCTATTAGGCTAGCAGGTTTCGGAGGTTTCCTTAGTCTTGTCTTTCCAGCGGACATTCGAGGTACGGAGGATTCCTCCGGGTCTAGCACATATTAACTTTACGCCTATTGTATGCCCTCCTTCTGGTCATAGCAATGAGTCCAACAGCACTACACAAGACAGCAATACGCGATAATAACCCAGTGTTAACCCGATTCATGACATGCCTGAACCGCCAAGGCAAGACCACTAATCTGTCCTTTCATCTTAATGGTTTTACCTCCCTATTTACTATTCCGCCCTCCTATGCTTCATCTCTCTCCCTAGCCTCGAACGCCCGGACTGTTGCTTCCGCGAGGATCCTTAGTCTTTTGGTTCCTTCGACTAGCTCCTCCGGCATGCGCGCCTCTAGGAACTGCTTTACGTTTAACGGCTGTATGAGAGCGATATCTTCAAAGCGCCGCACGCGGGATAGCTGAACATACATGCTTACTGCATCGCATCTTTCAAGCTCCCCCGTATTCTTACCCACTGTTCTCCCATAAAGCCCTAACAGTGTCTTTTCGAGTGTCCGCCCCTGTGCCTTAAAGTCGGTTAATGCGAAGCCTGGTGTGCATGGGAGCCCTGTCCGGACTAGCGCTAGTTTTACATTGGCTTTCTGCAGATCTGGCCGGAGTATTTTGATGTGCTTTTCTGGTACTCGAATATTGGCTGCTGGCAACATTACAGTATTAGGTGGCAGATGGGGGAAAGCTAACCCGTTCGTTTCTTCGGACTGGAGAATAATACCACTAGGCGGTCCGAGAAATATGGACAGCCTGTCGTTTATGATGATCTCTTCTACTCCGGGCGGATGAAGAATTCCTACGGCTGTAAACTCTGCGCCGTTGACAACCTTGAGACCCATATACTTGTTCTCGTTGATTACCACCGGCATACCCTCGACATAAGGGAACATACCAGCTGCGCTCAGCTTGCCCTCGTCGCCTAATAGCATGGCTGCTTTTCTCTCCTCTGCTGTAGGTATCCGCGATTCCCACTTGTGCTTCGAAAGATATATCGATATCTTACGACCAGTATCGACGCTATATGCTAGGGCTGCATGCAACGTCAGATCCCACCGGTGTCGGTTTAGAGGTATAACAGCTCGCCTGCCGCTGGTGAAATCGAATTTCGATTCGCTATTATATTGCGCTTCGAGCTTCGCGGCGTCCTCTCTTGTCTGCTTGCCCTCTCGCAGGCGTTCAAGAAAACCAAGCAGGTAGGCGTCCGCTTCAGCCCGTTTTTGCTCGTCGAGTACTACAACATTAGTAAACCCCTGCCAGAGTTCTTTAGCTTTAGCCTCTTTCCAGCGTCTCTCTATAGCTTTGCTTCCCGGTCCTATATTTCCTAGCACTATACCAATTCGTTCGGTAGTACTAAGGAGGCTCTTCTGCAAAACTGGCGGGAACTGTAAGAAGTCTCCAGTGAACACGACGACAGAAATGCCACCAAAAGGCTTCTCTGGGAAGCCCCTTAACATTCTGAGCTTTTGATCGATATCATATAATGTTTGGAGTCCGAGCATGCTGGCCTCGTCGATTATCAGAGCATCCCGCCTGCGCCATCGTTCTTTGGCTTTCTCTAGATTGTTCGATAACATTGGTTCTACGGTAGCGCCATCGGCGTCCCGAAATGCCAGCCCTACAGCAGAATGAATTGTATTACCGCCGATACCTGCTGCGGCCGTTCCCGACGTTGCCGTAATAACAAGCCGGCTGGACGCCCCTTTGGCTGCGAAAACCTCTTTTACGGTATCGATAAGCCACGACTTTCCAGTGCCGCCTCCCCCGCCAACGTATTGCAGGTGTTGCCGATCAGCGCCGTTTGTTCGTTCGTCGAGCGCCTCGCAGATGAGACTAAGCGCTATTCCCTGCATGCGATTTAATGTTCTCTCCGCACCGATAATCTTCCCTGCCTGGGTGAACGTATTAGCGGCCGTAATTGCGATCCAGTTTGAAGCAGGTTTCAGTCCAACTATCGCTGGCTGGGCTGGGAAATCTATATTAGCATCGTTGTCGCCAAAGCCTGTTTCGGCACCGGTATGTAGGGGTCTTTCGGCGGATTCATCCCCTTCGATGGCTAGCATTCGCTCTTTATGGAGTCTTTCCTGCGCCGCTTTGGTGATTTTTAAATGTTGCTTTGGTAGTGTTGTTTGCATATGTGGTTGACTGTTGGTGCTTTGTATTCTGGAGTCGTCATCTATGCTAGAAAACCCGGCGTTATCCAGCGTTTGTAGCAACTCTTTTATGCCTGGAGAACCATTCGTAACTCCTGGTCCGTCCTGTAGGCTGAAGACTACATCGTGAAAGGTGTGCCGCAGGTCTATCCTATCTGGGTGCCATTCTTCTGAAAGGTCTAAGCCCTCCTCAGGCACATCAAATTCGTATCCTTCATCGCCCTCGCTCCGGCTAGCCCAAAGCTTAGCGTCTTTCTTTGCGTCTTCTGCGCTCTTGTGAAGAAGTTGGATGTTATTTACCACAGCCTTAACCCGACCTGGCATGTCGGTGTATAATCTCTCCCAGATGTCACCTGGATCGGGACTAGTGGATTGCATAAAGGTTTCCCACGGCACAAATAAGCCGAGTAACAGGACTGCTGACCTATTGTCTGTTAGCGACTGTATAGCCTGAGGTATATATATATATATACCTACCTCTTGTAATACCCTTCTTCTGTGCCTTGTACGTCATGATTTAGATGTCCGGTAACAACTGGAATTGCTTGATGTGTCCTTGGGAGCAATTCTTGTATCCACGATTCCCGGTCTGTCATTAAAGAATCGAACGGTATAAACCGTGACTGGTTTATCCTGGTCCTTCGTCCGACCCTCCGTACGCGAACCATACATAGGTATTCGTAAAAGCAAAGCTGTTCTAACAGGCGACCGCGATGCGCATA